AGTGCCCGGAGATGAAGATTCGCCCGGGTTTTCCCCGAGTTGTTGTCGCAGTTGGGCGAGTTGACTCCGAAGTTGAGTCAGTTCCTGTTGAGTGTCAGGGTCTGCCATTCGGGTAGGAACCCAAGTATGGATCAGGTCTGCGATCTGTTGAGCAGCGTACTTGGTGTTGTTGGTCTTGTCCAGCAACTTTCCATCCTGTCTGGCTTTGCAAGATGACACCTTGTCAAGATCCACCCCTTTGTTCCGTAATTGAGTCAATAGCTCCGTCATGAATACCACCGCTGCGATGTCCCCCGTAGGAATCAGGTACACTTCACGCCCATGAGCCAGCTTCCGAAGCCAGAAGTTGTTGGCCTGCTGATATAGTAAGGCCGCTACTGGAAGCTTCAGTGGATCGCATCCCTCGATGTCGAGCTTTTGTGTAAAAGCTGAAGGTCGAATACTTCGAGGGAAGGTCAAGCCGTTGATCTTCTGATTGTCGTAGTGGTCTTGATCGTCTTGCCAGTGAGGGTTGAGATCGAAGCCATATGTACGACTTTCATCAATGGTAGTCTGTCCTCCTGGTGACTTGGAGAATGGAGTGCCAGAGTGGCGAGGTTGTGACGACGGGATTGATGGAGTACTGGGCGAAGCCAGTTGAGTCGGGGCACATGGAATCGTAGGTGAACATGGCGGAGTGGCTGAGCTGGATTGACGTGGATATGCAAGTGTTGGTGGTGGTGATGAAGGAGGTGCAGGTGGAAATCTTGGATTGGTAGGTGGAAGTCTTGGATTTGGCCATGTATGCATCGAAGCTGATGGATCTGTTGGTGGAGTCATCATATAAGGTCCCGACTGGCGCATATTGAGCTGAGGTTGGAACTGAGGTCTGGACTGAGGTCGCAGCATCTGTTGAGAGTGCCAAATCGCTGATTGCACAGGACCACACCATCGAGGAAAGAACGGAAGAGCTTGCCGTACAGGAGGGCGAGGAGGCTCAGGTTCAGCTCGATTTCGACCAGGTGCTGGTGAGCGGGATCGATCAGACTCTGCCATGGTGGCGTGGGCAGTTCAAGATTACTGATGGATCAAAAAAGCTGCGGTGGTTACAACGATTGACAGGATGAAATGACATGGAACATCACATTTAAGGTACAAGGCCCTGTCAAGCAATGTTGGTATGTGCATCAAAGTCACTAAACAAACTCAGCAAGCTCCTAATGACCAGAAAAGTTCATAAGAGTGAAAAGCAATCAGACGGGCAAGTCAGCAGTCGCATTTTGTCAATGCGTTTGTCCAGGAAATCCCCAGAAAAGAAGTCATGATCCTGTTTAGGACAAGAAAACTAATGATACACGATCAGAGAATGCTGTCTTAAATGCTCAACGTTTACGTTTGGCTGCATGCCGTTCCTCGTTGGCGCGATAGTTGACATTGTCCTCAGAATCTGTGTCCTTAAGTTCAATAGGGCGCCGTGCCAGTTGGTCATCATCCTTGAGGTCTGACCATTTGATCACGATGAACTTCAGCCCCACGTGGTAGCTATGAGCAATCGTGTACTTCTCCGGAGTGGTGACGATTCCCTTTTTAGCTACATTGAGCTGACATTTCTCGTTCCCTCCACCGCGCAGTGCAAGATGTTCCACTGAGCCTCTATAGATCGCCCCAATGGTGATTTCTTGCTGGCCTTTGCCTTTCTTCTCCATGGAATCAAGTAGTTCCTGTTCTGCCCATGATGGGAAGTTCTTGTCAGCATTGGCAATCTGTCGGCCTATGTAGAATGCTCCAAAGGTGGGCATTTGGCATCTCTGTGGATTTTTGTGGTAAGCCCAGTTTGCTGGTCGGATCTTGCCCTCCATAAGGATCAGCTGTGCGGTACTGAGGGTCGTACCATGGCCAAGTGCATGTGTGACGAGGGTTTGGCCGCCAAAAGGTGGGGGCATTTGAAATCGGCTCATTTCTGGCAGCGGCATGACTAAGGCTAGCATGCCTGTTTGTGGAAGTTCTCGAACATAGCATGCGGACAAGTCAAAATCCGTCAGGATGCCTGTACTTGACAATAAATGTATGGCCTTTCTGCCAATGTCTGTGGGAATTCTCACGTCCACGTTGGTCAACTCGTCCATTGCTTCGTCAAAGTGCTCTTGGACAATACTCATGGATGGTTGAGGAAGCTCCTTTGCGTCAAGTTCATTTGCCGCTCTCATCCGATCAGGATGGGTGAGAGCATGTTTGACTTGGCGAGCCCATTCCTCTCTGGAACCTTCTTGAAGGTTGATGGCCATATGACCAGGTGGAAGAGTGGAAGCTCGGGATTGAGCTGAACCAGAGCGATTGGGATGATTGCCCTGGCTGTGGGAGTGCTTTTCCAGCGAGTATGCCGTCAGAGGCTTTGAAGGATACTTGGAAGGCTGTTCATCATAAGATTGATGTTTGTAGTGTGGCTTTGAGTAATCGATCCATCCAGAGGGATGCGTGTAATATTGAGACTTGGACTGGTCCTTCCAAGACTGCCAAGGCTTCCACTTTTTGGTGGAGCCGTAGTCAGGGTAGGTGGAATAGTCTTGGTAGTCCGACTTGTCGGAAATTGAAGGTTGTTCGTAGTGATGGTCATGCCAAGATGGAGGTTGCTGTGTAGTGGATGGATAAGTATACTCATCACGGCGTCGAAGTTCCTCACGTTGATGTAGGTCTTCCCGGTGACGTGGAGAGTTGGAACGAAGAGTGACTGACTGGGGACGGCCTGGAGACATGGAGTCATCCCGTGAGCAGGAACGTCGACGATGTTGGCGGGAACGGCTATCCCGTCTGTGACGTCTTGGACTTTTCGGGATCGAAATGGGACGTTTGTCCACCTGAGACGGAATTTGTTGAGACCGTGACCTGGAACGGCGATGAAGCCGTGGAAGTGGTGGTAATGGGACAATGGGTGGAGATTCTGCGACTGGAGTCGCTGGTGGGAGTGGAACCCCACTTGCATGAGGGCTCTTAGACCTTTCTTTGGTCATTTCCATAAACGCCTGCATGCCAGATTCCACTGTGTTGCGCATCTGTTGCATCATCTCTTCTGGATTGAAAGCGGGATGTGGCTCTTGTGGAGCGGGTTGAGATGGAGTTGGAACAGGAGGAGTCTGGACTGGTGGCACCGTTGGTGGCTCAGGCACTGATGGAGGATTTTGATGAGATGCGGTTTGTTGCGAAGTCTGATGGAATGGGAGAAGCTGTTGGAGTTGCTGAATATGGGTCTGAGCTTGGGAATTCAACTGTTGATGCAGTAATGCATTTTGGTCCCGTAACTGAGCCAACTGAGCTTGAGTCTGAGCTTGTGACTGAGCTTGAGACTGTTCGTTCATCAGATCACCTCCACAAAATTGACCAAATTGTGCTGCAGGTTGAGGTGAAGTAAAGGCAGGCGATGACCAGCCACAGTTCCACATGTTCTCCGAAAAGTTTGGCCAACGACCAGGAAACATGGCCAAAAATAACAGGTCTGGCAGCACTGTCAGACGATCACTTTAATGGTAAAAACACAAACATTGGATGCATCCACAACTCATGCAGTATTCGTGATAAGGCTCAAAGGCCCTCGGCTTTCATTTCAACCCCATCGACGGCTGTCAGTATTCAAGTGAATTAGGTGCACAATTGAACCTCACCAACGACCATAAAAAGAAAAATCACCACACCTGCAGGAATGTCCTGAAGCCTTCACATGGTCACATGTCATGGTGAACTTGTCGAGCTCCGTACTCTCTTGGGCATCAATGAAAAAACGGATGTTGTCGCGGCTTTCAGTAAGCTACTCTGAAAATGCAGTCACTCTGAAAAGGTGAGTCCCTGGTACAGCGGGCAGTTGTTGCAACACAACGACATCGACGAGTGAGACCAGGAAAAAAGGCCAGCAGTTCACTTTACTTAGACGAATTACTAATTCAAAAGTGTAAATTCAGACATCGATTTACTGTCAATTGTTAGCCTGGAAAGGCTTTCCCCGAGGGGTTCCTGCCAACTTGACGTATACAGCAGGAATGACACACTTGCTCAGAAACAACATTGCGAATTTTGTTGTGGAGTGCATCACACGTGCACAAAACAATCCCTTAAAAACTGCCAGGAAAAATTGGTTGATCCAGCGTGAATTTCAGTGCGAAGTAAACTTTCTACGTCCTTGCTCTGAGGAAGGTTCTGATGTAGCTGAACCAGTTGTAAATAACCAAATAAATCCAGATTGCGACAACAGTGCAGTAGGCAACCCTCAAGTGGAAAATATCGACGTGCCGGTTCTTGGCTTAGCCGGTCGCCATTGACGAAAATGAAAAAGATTGAGCAGGTACGTGGATTGAGCGTCCCCAATCCATATCACTGTGCAACAGATGCGTCTTCGTTGGATGGAGACATCTGAAGCACACTCCATCCCCCTGCAAGTACGAAGTAAAATTGAACCAAGTCAAAGCTATAGGAAGTTTTACATCTTTTCAGATGTTCCACACACACACACACACGCGCACCCAACCACACCAGAGGGGCCCCACCACACCGAGGGGGACAGTACTATGGCTGACCCATGACCATGGCCGGGGAGGGGGGGGTGGAATGCTGAACCATATATGTATATAGAGAGAGAGAGAGGATGAGAGAGGTGTGTGTGTGTGTGTGTTCCCATTCAAACCTTTAAAGGCATTTCTCATTGCCATGCTTGATTACAGAAAGGTAAACACCTTTTTATGTACCTAACCTGCAATAATTGACCCCAAGAGATCGATGATGCTTTTCACACACGCTCAACACCCTCTTTTCCCGCAAAGGAAATGCGTCCAATCTTACTAATCCTTGGCGAGGAACATCTTACTGGTTTAAATAGCAACACATGTCACAGATGAAGGTACGAGGTACTCGTATGTTTTTGCAGTATCTATATGTATTATAGTATGTACAAAAGTAAATTTCTATGATATCCAGAGTTTCCGGCGTGTTCTTTCCTGAATTTATGGCTCCATGGCTGATCACACCACTGCGCTGAGGGTCCTGATGAGAGACTCGCAATCTGCCATTCTGGCAGAGCATCTTGGCTTGCACAAATATTTTCACGGGCTAAATATGACTACATAAATTGGAATATCACAATCAAACATGTGTGTTCCACCAACATATATTCTTTTGTGTATATAATATGTATATATATATATGTATATATTTGTAGTTATTTATATTTATATTTGTATCTGTATATGTTTCAGATCTGAGGTTGAAAATTCAAAAACATCTATTTGTGCCAACATGGCTTGCCCACATCCTGGAAATCCATGGGAACTCCATGGCCCCAATGGCCCCAGGTTCGGCAATACTGCATCGCAGGAGGAGCGGGAAGTTCATAACGGGGCTGGCCTCGCCCAAAAAAATGGAGGCGAAAAGCAGAAAACATGCTGGACATATCTGGAAATTATGAAAAATTTGATATATATATATATATATACATATTATATTCTATAAATTATATTTATATATATATATCATATAATATATATATATGTATTTATATTCTATAAATTATATATATTATATTATGTTATATAAATTTTATCTATCATACATATATGTTATACTATATAAACTTTAAATGTTATTTATTTAGATTATATTATATAAGTTGTATCTATTATATATACTATGTTTTTTTAAATATATTGATATTCAACATGGCTTTAGCACATCTTGACCTGGTCATCGGTGATAGCCTGCCAAGTTAGACAAAAAACGCTGAAGTGATTACAGTAGTTGGTGGCCTCAAACAAGTTCCATCAAGTTCCTTCTTCCATGCGTTGGGACTCGGGATAATGATCCCAATTGACAAATTTGTTTTGAGGGTTGAAACCACAAGCAGACACATTCCAGTCGCAGATTTCCCGCAGATGATACAATGATCCGGATTGCTGATACCGCAGTTGATCCAGAATCAACATGCATCAACTTTTTATCCATTGCATTCCCAAGTTTTTTTTGCTGTCTTCGAAAAAATTGTCCCAAAAATCAGTTGTGAAAAGATTAGGTCACTTGAAATTTGACGCCAAACATCAGGAGGTTGATTTGGACATGGGCTCCAAGGCGATGCTCGCCATTCCGAGTTTCGTTCCCACGTGCCTTGGCTCTGTCGCTGCGGGTGGTGGCTTCAAGAGACCCAACATCTGGGTTTAAAATGGATGAAACACCAAGAGTTGGGATACGATATACCGTATATACACACATATCAGATTTGAAAATATGACCTATATAATCCTATAAATAAATAAATATATATATATTACATATTAATATATTTTAATATGTAATTATATGTAATTATGTCGTAGATTTGCTGTTCCTATCCCAGACTTTGACTTGAGCTTTTGACAGGGAGTCAGGGAATTCCGGATTTCGCATGTCCCCTGCCTTCAGCCACTACGGTTGACCACGATTGACGCGCGGTTAAGGCCTCACTAAGTTTTACCATTGCAAAATGCTGAGTTCCTGGGTTTCTGAGGTCCCAAGTTTGCTTCAAAAATGTTCCACTCAGGGTCTTGGCCATCCTTTGCGCCATCGCCGTTCCTAGCATGATAGCTGCCAGCCTTTGGGTCAGTTCGGGCAGCCCAGACCGCTTGGTGGTTCCCAAGGCACTGACGAATTCAAGTGAGCACAAAATCCATCAACGTTTTGGTGGTTGATGGGTGGGTTTGTTACTGTTAATTAAACAGTAGTGATGCAGTTCATCGTAGTTCCAAGGCTGATTATTGGCTACTCCAGCAGGGGGAATCCTTATCTGCCAACCCATAGGGGACCATTCATCGTACCGCAAGAGCCTACCAAGTTGTGACAAGGGCAACAGCAACCGGAGACTGGTAGCGTATGATGCTGAAACTGGCGAAAGCCGGGCTATGGACAGTGACAGTAGGTCATGTTATGATTTAAATGTATTTTATATATATATATATTTATTTACATGGGTAAATTATAACGACCTCAGTGCGACCTCACTGGAATCATGGTTTATAAGGGAAATCATCCCCAAATGGCCTTAATTCAGGTGCTGGGGGTGCGCAAGAGAAGTGGTGTGGCCTTAATTTAGGTTAGTGAAATATGATTATTTACCCAGATGCTAAGCAGGGCAGTTCACTTCAGCGAGTTGGAACGGCTAAGTAGCTATGTAAAAGCCAGGGAATGGACAGCTAAATTCAACGACGGTGCCCCGGCGGGTCGAGCCCGTGTCGGGCTTGGTCACCAAGTCCCAGCGGGATTCCCTAAAATCCTAAAATCCCGAAGGTGGTTGGTTAATACAGGAATAGCCCCGTTGAAGGACCTTTGTTAGTGATTTGTTTTTACATATATATATAATATATATATATAATATATATATAATATATATAATATATATATATTGTTTATTTGTTTATTTATTTATCTATTTATTTATTTATGTATGTATTTGTGCGTGTGTGTGTGTGAAATTATAACCAGTATACCCAACCAGCCCCTCTAATTTTCCAAAAAAAACTATATCCAATCATATCTCACCATCCCCCCATCAAGTTCATTTGAAAACTCCCCTCATGCTTGATGGTTTACTATTGTTTCATAGTTCACCATTGTTTGGTGCTTTCGCTCTAGGTTACCTTCATGCTCACAGCAAGCTTTTCGTGATTTTTACCACTGGACTTTATGGAGCGCTTGGCGTAGCATGTGTTTGAGCTAGAAGATGGGGTCGGGGTTGGTAGCGCACAAGGGGTCAATGGGCACCAACGGTGAACGAAAATGATGTAATATTTTCATGGTTCATCAATCTGTCTTGTTTCCGCACAGATTTATGCCAATTTTGGGTGCTTCATGGCAATCTAACTCGACTTGCTGAAATCCGGGGCCGAGGTAAGCGACTGAAGTTGACCCTGCCAACATTCAAGTTGGCTTTTAGTTGGAACATGTTGGAACTCTTTAGTCATGTCCTAGTTGGTGGCCATAAATCAAGGTGCCCTTTCTCCAGTAGCTCGAGTACGGTTGTATGAAATTGACAATGCACCAGTTCTATGCCTGCAGATTTGCGAAGAATTGCCACCGGGATGGTGACAAGTGCAAATCTTCTTTGTCTTTACATATTTGGGACGGCACGGACATTTTTAACTGGTATGTTTGTGGCTGCTGTTACTTCATTTATTTACACAATGTTTCAGCCATTTATTTGATTTGCAGACACAACTCAACATATTCGCGATATAATGCCCATGTGTAGATGATTGGCGGATTGAATGAAACATGACCAAATTTTCCATGGCAAAATGTTGGATGACCAGAGGCTTCCCAGGTTTTGGTTGGCATTGCCAGCTCACAACCAAAGGACTGTATCCCAATGCACACAACACGTGGGGCATACCACCATAGCACCAAATCCCCGCAATCACAATTTCACTGGGAAAACGGATCGTATCAACAATCTGTCGGTGATTTTCCCCCAACAAAAAAGATTGGAATTGAAAGACAGTAGTTGAAAAATGTTGAAAACCATCCGAATCGCAGCGATTCCGACGGCATCCATCGGTATCCCAAATCTCAGGCGTGCGCTTGATGCAAGCAGCCTTAAGGTCATCGGACTTGATCTTGAGCTGCAGCGAGTCCTTTTTTGTTTCGAATGTCAAGATTTGAGCAGTTTTCAAAAAACCCTGGTGGTTGATGATTAGTTGGGGGATCGTACTAGCCGGTATTACAATAATCCAATTGGGGGAATCTATATTAAACCACGGGAATCGCGTCACTCAGCTCTTTTTTCGCCCATGGAAGGATCCCATGGAATTAGAGCACTATCAGTGCGGCACACTCAGGACAACATGTCTTGGGCAGGAAATGCTCCTGGACATGTCACACACTCCCAAAAAATCCCGCCCAAGAAACAACAACATGCGGATAGTTAATTAATGACTAATGTCTACTAATGTTTCGTCCTGATTAGTGTGAGGCCCCCCGCCCTCCCCTCAACAATAGCTATACCCTCTCTAAAGTTGGGCGCAAAAAAGCGGTTCCCCAGGGGAAAAAAACTACTGCACACTTAAGTAAGGATTTCAATTGGCTACAATTGAAATCCAATTAAAACTTGTGTTTTGCCGATGAACTTGTGGTATTTGTAGTACTTGTAGTGCTTGTAGTACTTGTAGTACTTGTAGTACTTGTAGTACCTGTAGTACCTGTAGTACTTGTAGTGAGTGGGGTTCAGCATGTTGATTGCGTTACCTTTTCCACCTTAAGTTTTCTCTTAATGAAACTTGTGATAAGAGACAGAGAAAGAAAAAGAGAAAGGGAACGAGGGAAAGAGAAAGAGAGAGGAAGCGGAAGAGGAAGACGAAGAGGAAGAGAAAGAGAAAGGAAAAGAGAAAGAGAAAGACCGGTTGCTTTTATAAAAGGCGTTTCTTTCTTCTCTTGGCTCCAGGATCAGCTCTGGAAAAGTTTGCTGCAACTGTGAACCCTGAGGACAAACCTACTAAAGTGAACTGGGCCTTCTCATGGCCCAGTGCCTTGGAAATTTGTGGAAAAACGGTTTTTTTAACAAGGGTTCAATCAGCGATCTGATTCTTTTGGGAACGGCAGACAAGCACGATTTGTTGCAGAAAAAATGTCAAGTGTTTTTTGACTCAAACATGTTTTTTCTTAAAAAAATGGTCTCCCAAGATTTCTTGCCACAACAGCGAACCTGCCAAACAATGCATGAGTTCAGAACAATTTGGAAAAATGTCACGATAGCGAACCTAGCTACTAATCAGGATGCAACATTAATTGTCATGATTCAAAATTTCGTTTTCACAAGAGTTGTGAATCATGACTTTCACAAGATTTGTTGTGTCATTGTTTCTCACTATTTCATCCTAAGCCATTAAAAACATGCAATAACGGGCAATAGCTGAATAACCTGTGCCTGTCATCGACTGTCCATGTCAAGTGCAGCAAAACAAGAAGTCGTCAGCCCAAGGCATTTGGCGCTCCACCGATTGAACCTCTTCATTTCAGAGTTCGATCTGGAGTGGTCAGAATTGTCGGGGCAGCAGTGGCGTCATTTGGCCTTATCGGATGGGGAACACGATGCAGCAGTGGCCACTGTTCGGAACAACAATGATCAGTTTACTAGCTGCAAAGCCGTTCAATTTTGGGGCAGCTCATTTGTGAGCCAGATCCATGAATTTGGAAAGTACAGTGAAAACGTGTGAAAACGAAAGGTGTTAAGATCGGGGCCACCATTTGGACATGGCATTATGTTTAAATCCACAGGCCTCGACACCCAAGTTTGTTGGAATTTCATATGCATACAGTCTTAAACTGATGTTCATGCACATTTCCAACAAGAGGTTAGTGAAGAACCATTAAGTAAGTTCCTGGTTCTTCGAATCCCCCCTTCGCGTCGCTCGTTTTTCTGTGCAAAAACCTTTCTGCACCGACTCGTCGGGGTCATGGAAGCCGATGGTCGATGCTCGCTGCGGATGTCTCAAGCCATCCGAAACATTCCGTGTCTGCAAAATGGTCCGTTCAAGCATTAACGTGATGAAATAGAATTAAATCACATTACGAAACCCAATTTGGGGCTGTCAACATCTTGAACCATTGGGCCCAGTGAGTTCCATGACAGTTAACATGATGAGTTTCCTGGCATTTGTTGATTGTCCTAACCAAGGTGATTAACACCATGATTTTTCTGGTTGTCATTTGTGACGTGTCCAAAAATCTCGTTGCCCAATTCTTGAACAACATTCAAATTCTTATCAGGCACGCTTTCAAAAATACTTGGAAGTGCATCCCAGGCAGTGTCTGGATCATAGTGCATGAGGTTTTTTACCAGACAAATCAATAAGGCATACCCTCCGGTAATCAAACGAGGCAATGGAAATTCCACCATTTATAGATGACTTACCCAGCTAGAAACCTCCATTTCTAGTTGATTTCTGCCACGGGTCACTGGAGGGTACCATTTGCAGATTTAATCAGGTGAGTCACTCACCAACAGAGATGCACACTTTTCGTCTTTGTGGTCATTGAGGTCGCTATGTGCTGGTTTGGGTGCTTTTGTGTTCTACCCAAGTGGCCTCACAAGGAATTCAGTACTACCTGTTGGACCAGTTAGGTGGACAGGGCGGGCCTAGTCGCTGCGACTAGTCAGGTATTGTTTTTTTTTTATGGGGATGTTATGGGGATGATATGGGATGATATAACCATCAGTGGGGATACAGCCGTACTATATAGGGAATATAACCCTGCGACGTCACGACCTAAATGCTGCTTAGCAAGGGCATCTATCATCATTTATCCCAACATATAGGTACACATACTTGTTTCATGTTTGTGAATTATTCTCATTTAGCCAGATATATATATATAAATAAACATATACATGTTTATTTGTTTATTTATTTATTTTTCTTTCTGTATTTATGTCACCAGCAAGCAGAAGGATTTAATCAACACAAATATCAAGAAATGAATCTGAACGGCGGATGGGGAAACCAAGAGGAATGCGGATGGAACGAATCAATGCCAGGTAAACATCCCAACAGTCAGAACAGAGCTCAATATGGTACCTACGGTCGGCCGTAAAATGGTTCAACACTCAACAGGCTATCCTTGCACTGGACCTAGTGCACCACCCAACCTTTGGGGTTTCATGGATTTCGCGTTTGTCCCAAAAGGGGGAAGCAAGTAGAGATCCTAAGTTGATGAATCGATCATAGTCAGCTTAGACCTTCAAGAAGAAACATGAGGTAATATAGCCACATATATAGCCATTATGACTGGGTACTTTTGACCGTTTTCATGGCTACTTGGGGGCACCACCGGACACCGAACGATGGGTCGATCATGGTCAGATCAAAGCGAAAGACCCGAGCACGCCTCAATCATCACAGGTTTAGGGTCTCTCGGGCGACAATGGGACTCTGTTTACCCTCTGGTAAACATACAAAAAGCTATTGAAAATGATGATTTATAGTGGATTTACCATGATTTACCCATTAAAAATGGTGATTTTCCATAGTTCTGTTAGTTTACCAGAGGGTAATGGGAATGTCGAGGGCCCAAAGCCATCAAAATTGCGGATATATCATGATAATTCATGATATATCACCTGAAAATTAAGCATCAACTTAGGCCTGAATTAAATGGTACCTCCAACAAATTGGTTCCTGAAATGGCCATTGATGTTTGATGGCATCGAGATTGAAGATGATTTTGCTGTGGGAAACCCAATGCCAGAAAGCATCCTCAATAGAGGTTTATGTAATCAGGTATGCCCCAGTTTGGGATTATATAATGGTGATTTTTAGTGGGATGAATGGTGATTTTTCAGCAGCAACTATAGGGTATGATAGGGCTGTTTAATCGGATCGTTTTTTGTTAGCAACAACTATAGGGGATTATAGCGGATAATTAGTCACCAATGGGGATTTTAATAGGATTGACGGTGATTCAAGTTCATTTTTTTGTCACCCGCTCTGGAATGATTCATGGAAGTTTCGGAAGCAACTATAGGGATTTGGCAAAAATCAGCCTCCCTGGAACTTACAATGAATGAATTCTTGGAATTGGAGCTGCGTGGAGCTGCATTCTCGGTGCTTCATCCCACTTGGCAAGTTGGTAGTCCAAATGGAATTGGGATCAACCCGGAGCAACCCAACTTATCCCACTTACATCCCCTTACTACATGAAACAAATGAACCAGCAGGTACAGCGCTAGGCCGAGTAATGGAGGGTTAAGGCATGAGATTCTCAATCAACCAGCTCTATTCATCCCGAGTTGAGATGTGGCAAGCTACCAAGACCAGAAAACATACCTTACTTCACCACTTGGGGGTGTTGTGAACGGTAAATCTATCATTGAGGGTTGGTTGACCGCATTTGAACAAGCACATCGAATTTGAGGGATAGCATATGATATAGATATATACATATGTATATAACTATATATATATGTGTGTGTGTGCGTTTATTTTTTCAATGTACATATACCATCTAAAATACCTGCGGGCTATTGCAATGTCAAGGTGGGGATGAGGAATGAGGAAAACATGAAAAGTTGGGGCCGCTGGGGCATAAAAGTGTTGTAAATCGTTTTCAATGGTGAATGGTTGGAGTCTTTGATTCATTCCAAGGGATCTATGTCAATTGAATTGGCTGCAAGCGTATGTATATATTATATATAAATAAAAACGTATACAATTATATGCATGTGTGTATGCATGTGCGTGTATACATGTTTGTGTATACATGTGTGTGTGTGTCTGTGTGTGTATGTGATTCTACGACCTACGGCAAATCAATTTTCTTGTCATGCATGATTAGAGCTATCCTTTTGACTTACTGCACACCAAGTACTGGTATGTCTTGGGCTCTACTCATCACAGGAAAGGAATATTCCTACTGTTACTGTATATCCCTAGATGCCCCATATGGCGTATTACCCTAAGAATTTCTCTGTCCGATGCATTTCTTGAGGGAGAATCTGACATGTTCATACATTTTCCAAACGCCTCGCCATACCTCGCGTGGCTTAGGATGTTTTCCGTGGTGATTTTTGCCGCCGGCAGTGCCACGATCATGATCACGTGCTTTGTGGCCCGGTCGAATAGATTCAATAGATGGTCCCGCAGCTGAGCACCAAACAGTCATCAAACATGGCTGGGATAGTCGACCCAACTAGCCATGGAGGTTTGAAAGGGAAAATCATTGAACTACATAGTGATTTTCTAGCCACGTTTGATTGCCGGAGGGTAGTGGTTTGGTATTTGTCCCATATTGTTCTATATATATATATATATGGGTTATATAAGTTATGAAGATCTATAAAGTGCTTTGTTTGCTGAAGTTCTTGTGGGTATTGGGCCGCATGGAGGCCACAATGGGTAGTAAACCATGGATAAGTAAATCGGTGTTTTTTTTCCTGGGTTTCATCATGGATAGAATGGGTTGTATTTATGCTTCAGAGTCAGAATCGACTCCGATCAGCAAACCCACACAAGTCAAGGATAGTTATAACCCATGCGACTGGTTCCTTGATGTCTCTGACCGTGCATAAATCCTTGAAAACCCTGTAGCCTGGTGAACACCAAAATACTTCGTAAACCATGATTCATCTCCCAAAAAGAAAGTACAATGGGTTTTGATGCATCCCCTCACAACTATCCAGTTGCTACAGGAACCCCCCAGTCATGAGAGAAAAGTCAAAATGTGTATATGTATATATATATATATACTGGGGCCAAGTATGGTTTATAATAGATATATCTATAACTATATATACTAAATACTCTATTAATACTATGGTTTATAAACCTTCTATACTTATTTATGGTTATTTATGGTTGATAAACTATGGTTAAAGTGCAAACTATAGTATTTATAAACCCTCTATGTCTATAAACCCTCTTTTTTAGCTATATAGTATTTATGGTCACCATAAATAACCATACATATGGTTGATAAAACCAATCATGTGGGACACCCTGGCTGCCATAAACCTACACCAGCGATGATCGATCCCAGCTGCAGGCGCTTTCGCATATCATCCTGGGGATGGACTCAGCTTTGGTCCCTTGGTGGGAAACTTTGGACGTCAACCCCCACTCCCCACATTGTTTTTTTCTTATTGTTTAATGTAGCTATATATATATAATTATAGTAGTTGGTTTATATCTGTAAGAGAGGTTTATATCTAGAATTACTTTGATGTTGTATAGCAGATGTTTATACATTTTTTATGTTTATAGCATAATAATAAGCAAAAAATACTGGTAGGCAAGCAACTTGTGCACCAGCTTGGTTGCTGACACTCCTTTTCCGCTTAGCGGAGTTGTATCTTACTCGCCTTTAGCTCTGCTGAACTCCTTGAGAAGGCGATGGAGAGAGAGAGAAGTCCAACATGCAAACAAGGAAATAAGACAATTATTATTGAAACTTCCAGAGTTCACCTTTCCAAAAGGACTTTCCTACCGGAAAATGTTCAGGTGTTCACTTAAACCAATCCAATGAACCAAGACTTTTGGACGGTTTCATACAACAACTCGTTGAAAGATGGCGTACGTGCGCCCGGCAACACGCCACCGTAGGGTTCAGCAGATGGGTCCAGAAACCATGTTGCGAAAGATTATTGTTCAAGAGCCTGCAGAGTTTGGGGGCATTTTTGGAGGATCTAAACATGCTTCCCATGCACTTGTGCATCCAAATGAGTCAAGCAATCCGGAACGCTTGTGGTGGGATGAGCTGGGCCACTTGCTCGCCTTCAGCTTCTGTTGAATTCTTTGGAGATGGCGATGGAGAGAGAATACCAACACGTGATGAATATTATGGTTGCTGAATCCTCCAGTATCAGTGGTGTATATTATCTATGCATCCGAATATATCCCTTCCCCCAATATTAAACACCCCCCAGAAACTATGGTTACATGGTTTAGGGTTTAGGGTCGACGCACATTGGGGCCCATTTGTGGTGTCATATTCGAAGGATGGGACTAATCACCTGTTGCACAGGAAATCTGTTGCGTTTTCTGATCTTAAGAATCTTCAGTTCCAACATGGAAAACCCAATCATCCAACATTACCACAGATGGTTGGTATGAACCATCTCCAAATGGTAGGCTTATGGTTAGGTTTATCACATATGTTTTTTCATTTTTTTCTGAAACAGTCCTCGTTGTTACCAAGGACTGCTGGTGTTGTCACGTTTTGAACACTCCAAACTTCGAGTTTGGCGTGGTAAGCTGGAATAATTTGCAGGCTTTGCTGTCTCTTGGTCGAAGGTGGTGAAGATGGGTAAGTCTGGGATTTCTGTTGACTTTGGATTTCGACCCGCAAATGTTGGGAGCAGCCCCGAATTCAACGAATGAGGAGAAACCTTAAGCGAAAATGCCAGATTTCTTGACTGGCAAGTTAGGAAAAAGCTAGATCTAAACCATGTTTGGAGAAAGTTTTCCTAGCACTGAAGGGAAACTTTACAAGACTCCGCCCCCGTTGAAAGAAAAAATCTTCGGAAAATGGGTCGATTTTCCCAAGCCAAGCCAGTTGGCGCCAAGAGTTGACGGAAGAAGTCGGTTCATCGCGGGCTTCCCATGGGCTCTTCGCTTTTCGGTTGCCACAAAAGTCACAAAAGTGTCACCTGGCTGATGCTATTACAGTTTTTTAATAGAAAAGATGATGTATTTACCAAAATTGTTTGAAGGCCTTTTGTTACCCAACCATCATTCTTACTCACCATCACTTCATTTGGGTTTTGTTTGAAAATAGTGCAAATACCCCCAAAAACTGTTCCCCATCACAAGATAGGGATACATTGGGTTAAATATCACCCATTTCTGGACCAACCCATACCATATTGTTGCATACCCCATTATATCCCACTATATCACTATTTGAGCTACAGCCAAAATTTAGGTTAATGGAGAGTAGTATTCGAGACATTCATATTTTTTGGAAATTGAGCTGGGGCTTGGAAAACGATAATACGCTCTTTTAAAAACGATAGCAATTGCTTTTATACCAAAACCTGAAAAACGATAATACACTCTTCAAAAATTGATGACTTGGAGCTATATACCAAATATTGACCGTGGCCCATATCCTCCCTTCATATCTCATTCTATGGGTATCCCCAAATGGATATACCTCCATGTTTCTGGGGAAAAAAAGCATCACGACCGAACCATCCGTTTTTCGTGGTAAAAATATCACCAAAAATCCAATGAGTTCACCATTGATTGATGGAGATGTATAGCCACCAATCGATCCTGGAAGTACCTAATAACTGGTTGGTGGTTTGGAACATAACTATGGAAAATCACCATGCTTTCTAGCTGGGTATATCAACTATTTCTATGGCCATATGGAATCTGGTTGGTGGTTTGGAAAATGAATTTTATTTTCCATTTCATATATGGGATGTAATCTTTCCCATTGACCCTTACAGTATTTTTCAAGATGGCTATCGCACCACCAACCAGAAAATGGACAAATGTAGTGCTGTTCGTCGTTTTTCTGACCGCCATTTCTTCACCGGCCGTAGTGGCCGTTGTCAGGAAGTGTGTTGGCCACGAAGTGGACAAGACCTTCATCTTGGTCCAGGCGCGGTTGTTTTTTTCAACGAGTTCAACGAGTTGACGACGCGAGTTGACCGATTACGTGTCTCTCTACGTTTGGTGGTGCCCCAGTTCGGAATTGCTAAGTTGGTGCAAAGAAGTCCAATATCACCTGGGTTTATTGGGGTGATATCTATACTTAATGGGGCTTATAAACCAACTTACAACTGCGGGGGTGCCACCTTGTATGGATATGGTATTAGTATGTATTAGTACCAATCATCAATATCTAATATCAATCTCAGTCATCAATATAGTAATAAGTAATAAGTGGATATGATTGGTAATAATCATCAAATTTGGATAATGGAATTTGATATATAAGATGTGACCATTGGTATCTTGGGCTTTGAATGGATGTTGTATTAACCTCAAATCTTATCCTGATATCAATATCAATAAACAATGCGTCAAATCTAACATCTTCAAACGAAGATTATGATATAGACATAGTTTCTCAAATCAACCACCCCAAATAATGATATGATGAGAATAGAATGGGATATGATAGAATCATTATAGATTGGAGGTCCAGATTCAATCAATCATATGGTATATTTCTCAATTTATCGTATTTCATGACGCAGTCTTGCTCAAACAATCCAGTTTGAGTTGAATAGCCAGTCCAAGATTACTGGCATTTGGGACGGCGGGATGGATATGTGGATAGATAGATAGATAGATAGATAGATAGAAGGATAGATAGACAGACAGACAGACAGACAGACAGCTAGCTAGCTAGCTAGCTAGATAGCTAGCAAGATAGATAGAAAGATAGATAGATAGATAGAGAGATAGATAGATAGATAGATAGATAGATAGATAGATAGAGAGATAGATAGAGATAGATAGAGATAGATAGAGATAGATAGAGATAGATAGAGATAGATAGAGATAGATAGAGATAGATAGAGATAGATAGAGATAGAGAGAGAGAGAGATAGATAGACAGACAGACAGATAGATAGATAGATAGAGATAGATAGATAGAGAGAGATAGATAGATAGATAGAGATAGAGATAGAGATAGATAGATAGATAGATAGTTAGATAGATACATAGATACATATATACAATCTTTTGTTACAGAGCGTGTTCAAGGTGGTACCCCCCAGTTATAAGTTGGTTTATAATCCCCATGAAGTATAGATATAACCCAATAAACCCAAGTGATACTGGACTTCTTTGCACCAACTTAACGATTCCGAACTGGGGCACCACCAAACGTAGCTTGGAAAATTTGGAAAATCCAGGGAGATTCACCTGCTGCTCTCCGGTAGGTGCTCTCGTCTTTGGGTTCCATGTACCTTCTGACCAATGGTACCTGGGCCGAGGTTAGCCATGGCCAAGTTCGGGAAAGGATGGGAAAATCATGATAAATCCAGTGGATAACTTGAGGTTATAGTAACCCCCACGAAGAAGAAAGCAGTTGAAAAGTTGGACAGCCTGGATTTGATGAGGAAAACATCATGGAAATACCATTCTGGAAATAAAATTCTACCCTTTGTGGGTTACATAAGCAGTAATGCCTCTGACCTGAAACCAAAATTTAGATGGTGACCCCACTCTTCGGATATGCGGCCATTTGGTGCAGCACCATGTTCGGCAAAATGTGTGCACCACACTACACTACACTACATTACATGACATCACATTACATTACATTACGTTATATGACGTTGCATTATATGGCATAATTATGACATCACATTATATATATATATATGACATGGCATTGCATGACATTGCATTTAAATTGAAATTATTTTGAAACTCAAATTCTTGCTTACATGCGCATATAATTTGCACAACATTATCTTCCAAGACCCCAAGGGGCTGCTTCAAAGAGGTTGGCTTCAAGAGGGGTGAGGTGAAGGAAAAACTAACCCTGAGAAAGGCTAGTTGCTTCCTTCTCAAGAAGGGTACATTCAGAAAAATCTAAAAATTCCTAAAACACGGGAAACACAACTATTTTTTCTAGTATGTTCTGGTTTTCAGGTGTCTGCATTTTTTTACAATGAAATAGCAGGATAAAATTTTATGATTGTTGATGACATGTTTGGACAAGTTTCAAAGTCAAAAAGAATAGTAAACAGAACCCCCAAAAAAAAGTGGGTGTCTCTCTACGTTTGGTGGTGCCCCAGTTCGGAATCGCTAAGTTGGTGCAAAGAAGTCCAATATCACTTGGGTTTATTGGGGTTATATCAGTTATATCTATACTTAATGGGAATTATAAACCAACTTATAACTTGGGGGGGTACCACCTTGTAGAAGTTTCGTTTCAGACACCCCGGCGGTGCTGAGGTGTGACGTATGTCTTCCGGGCGGACCAGTTGAACTTCCTCCCGACTTTGGCCGAAGGCCCTCGGGGGGAACCATGGGACAAATTCCCCACACCCCAAGAAAAGCTTCCCCCTATGATTCAACACCCCAAGGCCATGTCCATTGCAAGTAGTAAGTAATTTTGTCCGCCACTCTTCTATATCTATAGGTAAATATAGGTAAATCATCCATAAATTGGCAATTTTACCATAGTTATTTGATAATTTTCCGTAAGGTAACTACTCTTGCATGTAGAAGTATAAGCCGGCAAAAATTCATTCTAAACGAGAATGATATCATACGTTATATCCAAAATCTATCGGAACCATTCATAACTGTCCGGCCATCCTGATTGTTTGCAGGAACATCATCTGCTCATGGAGATAACGAAGTCTTGTAGTTTCATTTTCCCACGAAAGTATAACCAATGGCACAAGATCCTGAGCTACCAGTTACATGTCTAAGTGGCATTTTTGAGTGTAAAATCCCGGTGAAACTATTTAAAAGTCCTAGTAGATCCCTATCAATATGTTGAAACAAGACCAACATCTCCGGAGATGTTCTCAGGCTTGGCAGCCCTGCCATTAATCTTCCTCTTTGGTGCCCTGGTTCATCCTGGGAGGACCTGGGCGGTTTTTGTCGATGTTTCTCCATATTCTTCAAAAGATTGAGTGTGTTTCTGGTCTTCAAATGAAGGAGGACTGTGAGGACTTAGTATTCCCGAAAGATTTGGGTGCTATGGCATACATCAGCAGGTTTCGGAAGAAGTAACTTGAGCTGAGTGGACCCACTAGGCCGCCAAAAAGAGCTGTTCCAGCCCCACTGATCAAGCGGTGCAAGCCTAAAATCCTAAAGGGGGGTGGATGCACAATAGTAACATATCATGAGCCACAACTTGGGGCTGCTTTTATGGAAGGCCCCACAAAAACAGAGTTCCACCAAGGTGGTGGGGCTCCAAAGCATTCAAAACGTGAGGTGCTTCGTTCCTATGTATACATAAACGACGATCGAACTGTGTGGGATGTAATAACGATAATTGGATGGTGATGATGGGATGTAAATGTGATGCAAATGGGATGCAAATGGGATGTACCGTAAATGTAATCATCTACAATTGCAAGGAAAACAACAGATGTGAATGCAGCTCAGTCCTCATGGCTCTGTCACAGCTGCGCAGCTGAATTGAACGGAAGGTCCGGTTGGTGAACTGTCTCAGACTAAAACAGTTCATCACATGGCACCGTTTGACATCTAACATCTCAAAACATCATTAGGTATCAGGTATCAGCATCTTTAGGATCTGAAACCATCCATTTTCGCTCACAAACTCGCCAGATTTCGGGGCCCACTGGGGAGGGCGGGCACCAGGGCTGCCATCTTAGGCCTGAGCATGCGGCTCTTTTCGCATGGAGCATCTCTGACAGAGAAGTGCAAGTTCATTCCCAGTTCCTGGGCGCTGAAAATGTCACCCATGACCCATCTGAGTTCCCAAATTTGCTTGGAATAACGGGAATAAGTAAAATTCTGATTCCATTTCATTCTGCTGGATCCAAAATTGATGGATCCATAAGACATCATGAAAGTGGATAAAAGATATAAAGTGGTCAGTGGTTACTATGAATCTATATGAATCTATAATTGGTGTCTTGCATACGTGGCGACCTGCAGGCATTTGCTGGTCATCCATTGTTGTATGAGACAGTTTACATGTGCTCTATCCCCAAATTGTTTACGTGAAACTATGTGCTTGGTTCTGAATCACACGTATCTTTGTAAAGCCTGGTGAAATGCTTTGGCTCCATTCATCTTGTGGCCGCCAAGTTCAACAGTTCAAAGGTCCATTTTTAAGGAGATGGATTCATTTCCCTACGGCCCTACGGGCAGACGCACCATAAAATTGAGTAATTCGCTGGAAACCTCCAATTCAGTTCTGGCGTCACAAGAATCACAGATTTTTAAAATATTCCAATGGGACTCATTGGGCAGACCGTGGAAGTAGTTCCATTTAACTCCTGGTAAGGGATCCGCGATCCGTGAACAGGCAGTCCCAAAATTATCCCAAAAAATATGGATATGATGATAATCCTCAATGATAGCTGATACTTATACAGTAGAACTCGCTATGATCAACCAACAAACAGGGGCTGACAGAGCTTTTGATATGTTTTGAACACTGCTCACTGGCCAACCTGGCATTTTCCCGTCGCCGCGGGTGACACACTGAGGCTTTGTGAATCAAATCCCGACAGAGGACGCGGCACCCGTTTTTCGGGGCCCAGCCTGGGACCACTTTGAGTTGGTCCTTCGATTTTTTGGTACCCTCGATGTATGGAAACCCCAGCTCTGGTGTGTATACATCATATATATATATACACATTGTTTACATACATATATATATATACACACACACATTGTTTTTAACATTATATATCGAACATTGAACATTATATATATATTAATTACTAATATACTTTATCTACAAAGTATGTACAGTACAGTAGTCTATATGTTCAGTTTGGGGTCCCCAAGTTGGGAGCCGTCCTACTGCACCGCTGAGTTGCATCAATAGCGTTCTGTGTTTTGTATGTGGTTCTCCAGCCATTATTGTTGCAAGAAACTTGCAAGAAAACCATAATTGTTTCTCGGAAACCCATATATTACTATATATAATATAGCATGTTTTTGTTGTAAGAAGCCCATTATATATATATACACACAGCTCGCAGTTGCAAAGGGTTTTTGCTGAGCAGGAGCCCATCGATTTGGACAAGCAGTTCTTGGTGAATTTGTTACGTCGTTTGGCTGCCAGGTGGGAAAGCGTTGGTGTCCTTGGCTATTCTGGCTGTGAGAAATCATCAGGTTCAAAGGGCGAAACTTTAGAATACCCTCTGGTAAACGTACAAAGAACTATGGAAAATCACTACTTTTACTAGGTAAATCAACTTTTTATTGGGCCATTTTCAATAGCCATGTTAGTTTACCGGAGGGTAAATCATGGGGCATCTTCTTTAAAAGGGAGTTTTCCAGCCGGTCATGTTTCTTGGCTAAAGGGGTGGTGGTCATTTGTGATTGCTCAGGGCCACAGTCTGAAACCCCATGCAGCATTTTACTCGACTATCAACAGGGACCGTACCATTACTGTTGGTGTGGTGAGGAAAAGCAGCCCAAGAAATTGATTAATGCTTAGTATGGTAAGGTCCTAAATAATGATTACTGTAATCCTGCATGCTACGTATGCTAAGCATCACCAGTACCAAAACATGATTATATAATGCAAACATAATGCATACTAATTAATGCTATACTTTGTCTATTGGTGATTATCTCAAAGGCTGAGGATGGACATCTAGGAAACTTCAGCATGGGACGGTGACCAAAAAAATCCCAAGAGATCCTCACGCAGTAGGTCAGATTTCCCACATGGACTGGTCATACGATATTGGACAGCTAAGTCAGTTCCATTTGTTTACTGCTTGAGTTGTGTATGCATGTAATCGTAAAACCTGATGTTTCATGCGCACTATAACTATGCACTATAATTATCATTATTGCATATTATTGCTATTACTTGCACGCATTGACTGATAAATGCGTGTACCCTCTGGTAATTTAAGGTAGCTATTGAAAATTGCCATTTAGAGGTGATTTACCCATTAAAACTGGTGATTTTCTATAGCTATGTTAGTTTACCAGAGGGTATGTACAATGAATCCACATTCGCGACCGCCCAGGAGCAGCAACGCGGGCTTCTTCGTGCGTAATGTGCGGCTGACCCAAGAAATGCGCCCTGATCCCAAAATCAGGGGGGAAAGAGCCCGGGGAATGAGCCTGGCTGGTGGCTTCTGCTGAGAAAAGGTAAGGCTTTTGGGAATTTTCTTGGAAATCCCTTAGAAATTAAGATAAGGAATCCTTCTCTAGGTGCCGTCCTTAAGCACTTGCAAGTCTTGAATGCTGCACTAAAGCAAAAATCAAAGGGGATTTAGGGCTGAAATGCTGGTTCCAGCCCAGCCACCACTGACTGGGATTTTACTTTTTCCTGGCAGCAAGCAAATGGAAAACTCACAAGACAAAGTTCTCAATTCATTGATTGTAGGTTCTTGGGGGTGCAGTGAGGGTTAGAAATGGATATAGGGATATAACATGATATAACTGTGGGTATAGCGATGATGATATCCATGAATTGGTTAGCCAACTGAATTACTGGTTGGTCGTTTGGAACATGTTATTATTTTTCCATATATTGTGAATAATAATCCCAATTGACTAATACTTTTCAGAGGGGTTGAAACCACCAACCAGGTGAACATTTATTATCCCCATAAGTTGGAATATACCATGGTTGATCCCCATAAGTTGGGATATCACCTCAACAGCTGGTGATTTTTTTTGGATTCCGTTGGGAATCCCAGCCTCAAATGATGGATGTCGTACATCCAGGTCAAAAACTGCCTCTTGTTTTGGAAGCTAACCTTTGGGAAGATCCCAACTCATGGAAAGCCAAGTGGGGAAAGTGGCCATCTCATCCCCCACCAGTGGTGAAACCAATCTCTTCGCAATAAATTCAGCACCTCCTTAGAAACACTGGTTATTTATTGGGGTCAAGATTGGAGTGGCTATTAGCCTTCTTCAGGAGAGTTTTCAGCAGCTTAACATAGCTTAACCCCAACTGTTCATGGCCACATTTTTTCATGTTTTGGCCCCAGTTTTGATGGGATTCATCCCCAAGCCACGTGTTTTATGCTCAGGTTTGTGAAGCAGTTTGTTCTCGTTTGTGGACTTCTTTCAGGATGCGTCCTGCGGGCCTGTGGGCCATTGTCTTTTTGGCTCCAGGGAAGGAAAAAGAGCAAACACTTCAGACATATTCAGGCCCTCAATTATCTAGTTGTAGTTATTTTGATTTTTGTTTTCTCGAAGACTTCATATCACTCAATGAGCCTAAGAGCAACTCGTTGGTGCCTGAAGAATTCATAGGGGATCCACAATTCATGCGGTTGAGGTCCGGCAGTGCCCACTGAGATCTGGAGCTGGCGGTTGAGGGTGGGGTGGAGGACGAGGAGGTGAAGGAGGAAGAGGAGGAGAAGAGGCGATGGGCGGCATGGAGCTCTGATAAAATCTAGAGACTCTCACATGGCAGGCGGGGAACAAGTGTTTCAGTATGTGTTTGCCAGGGAACACAGGGGATTCTTTTCAGGATTTTCCGCGAAAGTTCGCGAGAGTGCATTTCAGACACATGGATGCCGCGAAAGAAAAACGCCACATCGCGAAAGGTTCGCGAAAGAGATGGCGAAAGGGAAGACAGAATAGAACACAAATCATCGGGGTTTCGGCAGCCGCTCAAGTGGTATGATGAATCACTCCAAGTATGATATATATATACACACACATTAATGCACACTAATAACATACCACAAAATGAGATGGTTTTGTTTATCATTCTGGATCCCACATGAACTTTTGTGTTCTATTTTTTGCCCGGGATAACGCAAGGAACCACCACACAGATTATCTGGTAATCAAGCATGGCTCGGCAGAAAACCACATATAGTTCAATGATTTCCCGTTTCTTCATACCCATTTAGTTCGTGGATTTCCCATGATGTTCCCATTCCCCATGATGTTCCAATGAGTTTCCCATGATGATCATGATGTAGCCATGGTTTTCCCATGGTTTTCCCAAGATTTTCCAATGTTTTTCCCCACTTCAATGGCCGTTTCAGAAGGCATTCATCCAAGAAGGCCACATTTTTCTCCAGGACTTTTCGGGGCTCTGTCTCGGATTTACATTTGAGGCGATGCTTTAAGCAACAGGCAGGTGGAAAGCAGAAAACAGGTGGTCAATTTTGATGTGTTTCTTCAATGAATAATCATGAATAGAAATAGATCGAAATATCATACAGCAAAAACTTTGATATAATAACCATACTTATATATGTATGATATTTTTTGTTCATATATATATACATATACACATATATGTGTGTATATAGATATACATGTATATGTAATGTTTTGTAGTGATGTAAGATATATTTCCATGTTTCACAATATGGACAGAATCACTGCGGTTTGGCCGCGCTAAGCGGCCGCCTTTTGTGCGGCGTAAGCCTGTTGCGTTTTCCGTTGAAGCAGTTGTCTTTTAAAGTATACTGGGCCAACCTTGGTTAGATACTAAAACCAAACGGTTGGTGGTTTGGAACATTTGTTTTGTTCATCATATATGAGATAATCCTTCCCATTGACGAATATTTTTCAAAATGGTTGAAACCACCAACCAGGTAATCCGGGTGAAGCAGTATGAAACCACCCGTTTGGGACTTGGGAATGGGTTACACCACCTATTTTTGTAGTGATTTGTTGGATGGTTTATTAGTTTTTTGCCCTCATTAGTACTTGAACCTGTTGCTATCAATCGTACATTCTACCTAAGATTCACCATGAGTATGTTGAAGTATGACATGTTGGGGTAACATATCTAATGTAATACACTTTATAGTGTCTAGCCATTTATTAGAAATGAACCAGCATTCATACAAATTAAGTAATGAATGGCTAAGAGGAATTAAAAACATACCTAAGAGTATTTCTGAATGGTCAAAATTGAAAATAGTTGCACATAATGGCTAATGGTTAACAATAATGGTTAATGATGGTTACCCTCTGGTAATTGAACAGTTTGCTATTGAACATTGCCATTTAGTTCATTGATTTGCCTATTAGAAATTGTGATGTTCCATAGCATAGTTATGTTAGTTTACCAGGGAGTAATGTTGCATGAAATATTGTTAATTGAAGTATATCATGTCATGTTCAATCATTGAAGTAGTACTTGATCTAGTATCATCCTCAATAATTTTCATATGTTTCAATGAGCAGCAATTGAGGATCATACTAGATCCAGGTCGATATTGTGCTGAGAGCATTTATTTCTGCCTCGTGACAGGCAGAGAAGCGAGGCGGAGAATCAGGCCTCAGGCCAAGCTTTTCTTTTTTAACCTGCTGGCACCTCATGATAAGATTCCTCATGCCAAGGCCTGGTTGCATCAGCCGTCCCAGAATATCATGATCTATGTCTATCCATTTCTGAAGGGGGACACCAGACCACGGTGTGGTATCCCATCCTTCGCGTTCCGGCACGGCATCAATGGGATTGTTCAAAGAACAGAACATTAGAATGGCAAATTTTAGTTGACATGTTTCATGTTTAACATGGTTTAAAACTGGAAAAAAAAAACTTTACTTTGGTAGATTCATCACTCAAATGTTAGCCATGAATGAAACATACAATAATCTGGGTAAATTATAACGACCTCACTGTTCTCCCTCACTAGGATCATGGTTTATAAGGGAAATCATCCCAATATTAGCCTTAATTCAGGTTAGTGAAATATTATAATTTACCCAGAATAATGGTAAATCAATCTGACCATTGATGTATGGAACATACAATAATAGAATATGTACCATATTCCCCAGAATGTGTGTTTTCTATTTTTCGGAGGGCAGAGAAGCCCAGATGAGTCGTATCATGAGTTGCTGGCGGTTTCCAGGGTGCAGGGCTGCCCCAATAACCGCTGTGGGTTTCACAAGAAAACGAATCACTGGCGAACACGATCGTGGGTCGGGAGCTGGAAAACTTTGGAATAATTTGATGCGGGAACCGTCCAAGTTCTTGTTTTTGGATGAGTAAAATGTGACTTTTGCACAGATTACTATGCTCAATGGGCGTACCAGCATGGAAGCCAGCTGATGCTGATGCATGTGTGCGCGCATGCAGAGGAAAGCAATGAAAAGGGGAACTGGTACCCTCAACAAAGTCATTGTTTTTTGATGCTACAATTGTCTGTAATCATGGGAAACCTGGTGAATTTTGGTGTGGCCAATGATGACCTTATCATGTCACGTTTCAGCTGTATGAACTTGAATATCCATCTCAGTTAGCAACTGGTTGATTCAGATCTGTCTCATAGATGCCGATTTCCTGGGCTAACCAGACATATACCAGATACGATCCAGCAAACTGACGAAACGACACTGAACACCCAGTGGGAAACCATAGGAATAGGATATAATCATCATTTTTTGATGGGATTTTCCATGACATAAACCACCCATTTTTGGGTACGACTATGGAAACCTCCGTGAATCTCGAGCTTTATGGGATCCATCCAGTGGTGACATCCCTGATATTTGATGAAAAGAAAGGCCGTCATGATGAGTGGTGGCCTGTGTTTTGACCCTGTCATAAACCATCATGAAATAGCACAACTCTTGTCAAATCCCATCAAATCCCCTTTTTCCGATGATAAGACCACCATGTCTCAATGGTTAATCATGTTAAATTACATTTTTTGGTAAAACCTCCATGTTTCCCCAACATTTACTGTATTGGAGGGAAGAATCCCCATGACCATGGTCAGCGCCAGAGATTTTTTTCAATGGATGCTGCAGCGTCCGTTGACCCGGCGTCTGACCGGGTCTCCCCAGCAAAGTTGACGGACGTGTGTGGCATGGAATGGCAAGGGTTCAAACTGGGCGCCTGCATGCAAATGCTTACTCAATCTTACTCATTTGTATGCGTGTATATCATATCAAATCACTAACCACGCGGATCTGGTCCCTTTATTTCCCGTGTTTGATTGTTTTGATGCCTGGTCTAGTTGAGTGTTTTGCTAAACAGTTGGGACCCTGAAACTCCACGAGCGCGATGCTACCCAGCAGTTGGCACAAGGGCGACAAGGGAACATGTTTTCATATGTTTTCCACGAAAGATGGAACATGAAACCGGAATTATGTCTTGGCTAGATTAGCTCGGCAAATTATTGGCTGCTGCGGCCTCTTTGTATCATCAAACCGTGTCACCTTTGATATATTACTTCTTCAAAACTACGTTCCATCCAAAGTGGTGCTTCACATCACCCCGCAGGAATATTCACAGGCGCAGGTACGGTATTGAAAACTCATTTCCTGGGCATCTACCACTGGCGCATGAGCCCTTGTTGATTGTATCCAAGGGATGATGCTAAGGCCTAAATGGATGGGGAGTATCCTTATCTAAATATCATAAGTATACTGTATACAGTACTGGTACTGTATACCGTATACATACATACATGCATGCATACCCAATACATACATAATTATCATACATATAGATAATTAGATATATATATATACATGTATATGAGATATATATATATATACATGTATGTATATATTGTTATATTTATGTGTGTTTATTTTATTTATTTATTTAAAAACATTTTTCTGTGGGATTTCTACCGTTTCTTGAAACCTCACTGCATCCGTGAAATGAGTTACTCCAGGTCGCCATGATCCCACCAGGCCATGGTTCGAGAAAGATGGGCCAGTGGAGTATGGGGTATATCAGGCGGAAAATCCAGTTTTTGAGCTATCAGAAAAGGCTGCTCCTCGGATATTTTCGGGCAGCTTATTCTAGATTGCAATGGTTTTTCTCGTCCAAGCGGACGAGCCAAGCACCATGATATTCGGAGACCAGTCATTTGAAGGATGCAACACCTTTCCACCCAGGTTTGCCCTCCCAGGGGATCTATTCATGAATTGGGATCCCAATCATCTGGGGTATTTAGGAATAGGGGGGAAAGAGATTACTGTAGTAGTTTGCCCTGCAGATATCATGTCAACTGGACCAACTGGACTGGGAGTACCCAGTGGCACTGTGACAGAAGTTTCTCGTCGCTGCCATGGCTGCAAAAGAGCAAAAAATTGCGCGCTGCGTCAGGCTGTGATGAGAAAGGAAGAGGTAGTAAGAGAAGTGGCTAACGGCCTGTTCCCAAAAAAGCGCAGATGTTTACTTCGCCGATCTGACGAAGATATAGAATATATATATATACATATGGATTGCAGTCAGTTTAAAATCACAGAAGATGATACAAGCATTGGTGAGTATACACACACACACTTTGGGGCGTAAACCTAAATGCATTCCCGTTGCCCAGCGCCGTTTCTAGCTCATTCCGCCACGCCACGCATTGCGAGCGCCGCGAAAGCACTTGACTTTGGCGACATGGCTGACCGCAAGGACCCTTGCTAACTACCCATTGGCCACTCGGGTTGGGTGGTTCCATGTTTTCCTACTATTTTTAACGATGGCTGCAAATGACTAGGGTATATATTGTGGCTTTGTCTCATCAAATGTGGTACCTCAAAATCCACTATAGTTCATCTCTAAAACTCCCATTAAAAACGATTTAGAATGCCATGAACCGGAAAAGGCCCCAAGAGATAGGGCACGGCTCCCCGTGTCAATGAGCGGCACGCACTGTAGCCCAAACCGTTGGCAGATGAGACACGAGACTTGAAACCATGGCTTCTTTCCGCTCTTGTTCCCTTAAATAACCCCAAAAAAAAACTATAGTTTTCCATAGGTTTTCCTCCTTCATTGCCCCTTTCCCAGCTGCCCTGGCAGGCCGTGATCAAGAACGCCGACATGGCCGAGGATATGCAGCAGGATGCCATCGATTGCGCCACGCAAGCCTTGGAGAAGTACAACATTGAGATGCTTGGAGGTTGGAGGTAGGCAGATATTTAGCAATGAAAAAATGGTGCAAAACATATTACACTTTACCCAGAATTAAGTATTTTTTTGCATGTAGATAGAAATTTCTAGAGGTAACCCCATCCCAAATGGTTGGATTTACTGTAACTTGATTGAAGCAATAAAATGGTGGTACAATAGTGGAATATTGCAGGGAATATTTTTGGTATTACAAGTATTCAACTATGATTTTCATATTTTCGGTGTTTGAACATGGGCCGACTAGCACGAATTATGATCCATTTGTCGAAGGAAGTTTGGAAGTCAAACTTCCGACAATATGGAGAGATGAAAAAGCAGTCAGCAGGGAGAAGAGTCAGAAGAGAAAAGATCAGTCGCTAAAGCGGCGGGTGCGGAGACATCTGGGGAGATGAGAGATGAAAAGTTGCACGCCGTTGTGGTGCGAAGCACATTTCCAAGTCAAAATGTACAAAACACACCAGGTTCGGACCACTTTTGGAAGTTGAGATGTCGAAAAAGTGCACGCTGTTGTGGCGCGAAGCACATTTCCAAGTCAAAATGTACAAAACACACCAGGTTCGGACCACTTTTGGAAGTTGAGATGTCGAAAAAGTGCACGCCGTTGTTGCGCGAAGCACATTTCCAAGTCAAAATGTACAAAACACACCAGGTTCGGACCACTTTTGGAAGTTGAGATGTCGAAAAAGTGCACGCCGTTGTGGCGCGAAGCACATTTCCAAGTCAAAATGTACAAAACCCCTCAGCGTCGGACCACTTTTGGAAGTTGAGATGTCGAAAAAGTGCACGCCGTTGTGGCGCGAAGCACATTTCCAAGTCAAAATGTACAAAACACACCATTCTCGGACAACTTTTGGAAGTTGAGATGTCGAAAAAGTGCACGCCGTTGTGGCGCGAAGCACATTTCCAAGTCAAAATGTACAAAACACGGACCACTTTTGGAAGTTGAGATGTCGAAAAAGTGCACGCCGTTGTGGCGCGAAGCACATTTCCAAGTCAAAATGTAGAAAACACACCAGGTTCGGACCACTTTTGGAAGTTGAGATGTCGAAAAAGTGCACGCCGTTGTGGCGCGAAGCACATTTCCAAGTCAAAATGTACAAAACGCCTCAGCTTCGGACCACTTTTGGAAGTTGAGATGTCGAAAAAGTGCCCGCCGTTGTGGCGCGAAGCACATTTCCAAGTCAAAATGTACAAAACGCCTCAGCTCCGGACCACTTTTGGAAGTTGCGATGTCGAAAAAGTGCACGCCGTTGTGGCGCGAAGCACATTTGGAAGTCAAAATGTTAAAAACACTAGGGGTTCGGAGCACTTTTGGAGGCTCAGAGGTCGAGTTTCGAAAAAGTGCACGCCGTTGTGGCGCGAAGCACATTTCGAAGTCAAAATGTACAAAACACTAGGGGTTCGGACCACTTTTGGAGGTTCAGATGTCGCTTCGCTTCGCTTCGGGTCATTACACTACACTATACACTCCACTACACTACAGTACATTACACTACACTCCACAACACCACAACTACAACTACAGAACTACACAACTACACTCCACTACACTCCACTACATTAGATTACAGTACACTACGCCACATTACACTACACTCCACTACACTACATCACACTACATTACACTACATTACACTACACTATGCACTCCACTACACTACACTACATTACACTACACTATACACTCCACACACTACAGTACATTACACTACACTACACTCCACAACACTACAACTACAACTACAGAACTACACAACTACACTCCACTACACTCCACTACACACCGCTACACTAAATTACACTACACTACATTACACTACACTAGAAAGATCGATAGATAGATAGACACATAGAAATAGATAGGTAGGTAGGTAGATAGTCAGATAAAGAGAGAGAAAGAGTGAGAGAGATCAAGCACCTTTCAGTCCATCAGTGGCTTCGCTCTGCCATCCCGGATTCACAACAACCAAGCTCTCCTATAGGTTTCCTATTTTTGAAACTTCCGCCACCGCCTTGTGCGGTACTACTGGTATATTGCTATATGCCAATGGAGAAACATGTGTTCTTAGTCAATGGATGAAATGGTCACGCTATTTTCAGAAAAACCCGGGGAGGGATTTACCAGGCGGAGAGTCGTGTGGATCATTTGAAATATCAACGGACCCCAGATCGGATATATCCAATGCACCAGGGCTGCTTGATTGAGTAAGTATCACTACTAGAATGGCTAACCCCCCAATGATCAACTTGGCTTGATATTATACATATCATATACTGTATACATATCCCCAAGTTTTAGCTGAATATATACACCGTAGATCCAACAATTCACCTACTGAACGACCGCCAGCTTAGTGCCAGGTTGCTTGTTAGTCCATTGTTGCTAGCTTTTCTTGTCAAACATGTGTTTTAACTAGTTCAATTTTGTAAAGCTTACTGTGTTCTTCCTCATTGTTGCTATAGATTTGTTTTTGGAACTGCATCTATATATTTTAGCTATAGCTTGAATTGGAAAGCTTAATGTGTATTGTTATAGGTGTATGGTGTAGAATCCAGATGTTGAGATCAAATCCCACTGCTTGGAGGTCATACCCCTTGTGTCACATATGTTCTCGATTCTACAAGTCCTCATGGCTTTTGATGTCACAATTTTCGGTTGTTTTCATATTGATTTTGATCAATTACACTCCACTACATATAATCCATTATCATTTATTATAATCTATTTAAATCCTTCAAAGAATTGCTAAAATGTTCTTGTCCCTTCTGCAAAAGCAACCCAGGAAGGACATTGCGGCCTTCATCAAGAAGGTGCGGGAGCTGCAGCAACCCCCTAGGCCCTACTAAAACACCACCTAAATGATACCTAAATGGTCCCAAATATAATTGTAAATTGTGGGGGTGTGTTTAATAAGACTGGGGAATGGATTAGCAACCCCTGATACAAAAATTGACTCCTGTTGAAACTTTTCTATTTGTTTCGGGGTTGCCATAATCCCTTGCCGAACCCTTTCCTCTAATTCTAATATCAAAAACCCCCGCATCATCCAAACCATGATTTGCCATTGGATTTATTCATTATTGGGGCCTATATATGGGAGGTGTTTAATATTAATCGTTCATGTTGGTCCTATGTTAACCCCGGGTGAGACTAGACCCTCGTGGCCTAATGAGGGGGTACCCAATAATTCTTGATGTTAGTCATTTGCTACTAAATTTGCAACCCCCACTGATCAACAGCCAAGAAAAGTGCAGGGTTGACCCATACCCAGTTTCAGCCGAACTGGTTCTATACTTTAGCAGCCACCCTGGGGTTCTATCGTTTTCTGCTCTTGGAGACATCATATTTCGGAAAGTTCGGCGGAAAAGTGCTCCCTCCCTGCATGGATCCTGTGGGGTGCCGGTGTTTCGCCAGAAGTTGAAATGTCCGAAGAGACCCAGGCACGTTCCCAGAATTAGTCGGTAATGTATCCCCATGATATCGTATACCGATCCCCATGATATTCCCATGTCCGTTGTTGTATGTTATGAAAAAATATTAAAATATATGTGTGTGTGTCTTATATACCCACCAAAGTGGCAATTAGTTGGGAGCATCTCCCATTTAGAAACAGCTCTTTGCCGAAGAAACGCAGGAGTTTGACAAGAAGTACAACCCCACTTGGCACGTGGTGGTGGGCCGTAACTTCGGATCTTACGTGACGCATGAGACGAAGCACTTCATCTACTTCTACCTTGGGCAGCTCGCCAGCACACTGATTTTCTTTACAGACTGGCAATTTAACAGTTTGCTATGGAAAATCACCATTTATAGTGGATTTTCCCATTGAAAATGGTGATTTTCCATAGTTATCTTAGTTTACCAGAGGGTACAGACTGGTTGAGTAGTTTTATATTTATGAATCTAAGCTTTAAAAAACATTTAAACAAACAACTAAAGTGTTTGCAGGGTATCTGAAATTGGCAATGTTACCATTCTTCATGATTATGGCAAAATCAGGTTTGGGATGTTTGTTGGTTGGATTAGGTGCTATTTGGTAGAAGATTCTCACCCTTTCACCATGTGTTTTAGTTGATAATAGCTACCCTCCAGTAAATTAGCATAGACCCTGGCAGATAGGGGTTGCAAGATTAGTTTCCGCTAGAAAATTGTTATTTTCGGGATCTATGTTAATTTACCAGAGAGTAACTGAAATTAACTAAACATCTTCATCATGGAAATTGTTATACCCTTTGGTAATCAAATGTGGCTGGATGGAAAATGCCCGAGCTAAATGGAGGTTTGCAGCTAAGACCATCATCTGTAAATAGGTGATGTTCCATTGCCATGTTTGATTCCGAGATGGTAGTGGATCAGAATCCAACAACTCACATCCAAAAGCTCCAACAGTAAATGTAGTCTCTACCCTCTAAGTATATTTGAATATATTTGATGCTACTGAACTAAGCCTACATCCACCTTATAGAGACAATGCTTGCCCCTCTTGTTCAGTCAACGGGAGCCATGTTGCCTAGGCAAGTGGCTATCCTGTGCTTCAAGTCAGGATGAGGCACGATGCCACCATTTTTTTTTGGAGAAAGCGGTGGGCAGCTCCGTCCCCCCCAATTGAACATGGAACCAGACGAAAAACTATTTCTCCAATTGGGTATGATATGGCACCTTGGAAAACTTTGATCTATTTTTGTTGCCATACTGTAGAATACTGCAAATGGAAAGCAGCAAAACAAACACAAAAAGGCAGGGTATGTTAGCCCAAAACAGATCTTTTCTGCAAGAGAATGCAGGAGACATATAGGTCGCTGTCCAGGTAAAATGGAATGCTGGAAAATCGAAAGCTGGAAGCTGAATTCAGGTTCCAATCTTCATCCCCTTCGAGATGGTCATGGGAATGTGGTGGAATTTCTGGGTTTCATGTGGTTTCATGCTAGTTGCCAAGCTCCATAAGCCATGCATCAAATGGGGAACCTTCGTCAACGGATCCCAATGGCCGCCATATCAAAACTGCTTTGGGGATCGTTACAGCTGTCTACGAGGCTACTTGGTCTCCATTCTTTGTGTGTATATATATATATATACACATATCATATCACATATATTCATTTTTTAATATATATATATATAATGAGATTTAGTCTTTTCTAAAGTCAGGCACCACCCGGGCACACCCAAAGAGTTCCATGTTTTTCCAGACTTCCATGCAGGTATTTCTTTGCTTTTTTGTTCCTTTCACAGGGATGATCTTTGCTCAGAAATGTTCAGTATCAGCCCAGATCAACCCAAAAAGATCGTCGTCATACCTGCCTGGCTCAGAAGCTGGCGTCTGAATTCGCTGCCTGTGAACAACATGTGATGGGCAGTACAAGCGCAACAAGGATGAGCGCAACAAGGAGCTTGAAGTCATGTTGGCTGGTGGTTTCACATGGGTTTTACGATGTTTTTTAACGATGTTTGATGATGTTTTACATCTGGGATGTGATCTACCTCCTTAAAGAAGAAGCTTCTTTGTCAGGTGGATTGCAGTCCAAATCACCAACCAGCTTGTAATCTCTTGTGCACGGTGGCAAGATGACCCTTTGCCCTCAGCAGTATGGATCGCCTGTGTTTTTGACAACCGTTTCAAATTCATGATTCAGATTGAAGCAAACAGCAGGCGTTTGATAACTTCACTGGATTTTCACAAGCTCCCTAGACTGATTTGAGATAGACACCCCGGGATGATATGAGACTCATCTTTGGTTGATTTTTTTCGGGGATACCCCCAAGTAGTGGTGTCATTTGCTATTAAAGTGATGCTCACCCACCCCAATAAATGATGTAAATTGCATAGTATTTATCGATATGTGTTTCCATCTCCTTATCGCCACGAAAGCAGCCGATCTGGCGTTCAATGGGGATAGAATTATCAAAAATTGGATGCAACTAGTATAGAACTGGTATATGAATATAGTAATATAATACATTTATATATAATATGTATATTTAACATATATTTTACTTAAATAATAACCATCAAGAAGGATTCTGAATAAGTAATCACGAACACACTGTGAGGTCACTAGATATCATGGTTAATTCTCGGTTGAACTATTATCATTGATTATCACTGACCCACATGAATGTAGTGTACACAATGTGTATATTACTGTATATTGTATGCAACATCTTTGACGTTCCTGGTCACCCCACTCAACTCTGTTAAGCTGGGGTCTCTTGCGTCGTGATGATCGGCTCAGACCAAAGCTGGGATCGGCAGGAAGATCGGCAGGAGATATGTTCAGAGATCAGCCGCCATGTGAAACCCACACCAAAACGCAGATAGAAATGATAGAACTCGAAAAAAACGGATGTTTTGGATGTTCCTCTTGGAAGATGCCATTTCTATGGCAGTGTTTTTGTTGTTCGTAAGACGTGAGCGAAATCGGAGTCGCTGCTAGAGTTTGGTGAAGTCTCGTGATGGTAGAGCCCAAGACCCACAGATTTTGATGCTTTGAAGCCTGCGAATATGGGAACATCAATATGATAGAAATGTTGTAATGAAATTGGAATGAAATTAATGTACTCTCCAATTTAGAATTGGAATTCGACCTATCTCCATGTGCTGCTTTTCGATTTTCACCAGCGTTTTCGATCAAATTTCCATATGCCATAAATCGATTTCCCTGTAGCGTTCATCAATGAAAAGCTTCTTCCACCGGTTTCAAGCCACGCCGAGATGCCGACTCCCAGCGCAACGTTTCAAGCCATGCTGGACTGCAGAGCGCGTTTTTCGCAAAGGAGTCTGCGGCCTGGGAAGCCGAGGAACGAAGTGGTTGCAGGGAAATTGATTGGACCCCAACCAATATGAATTGACTGTTTGATCTACTGGTATGTACAATAAAGTGATGAAGTGTTTAAACAAATTTGAATAATATAATTGAATCAATAAATACAAAGTATACTGCAGTGTTGGTGTAAACACAAGTTTGCCCATTGGGATGGCCGGACAGATTGACGCTGGCAAAGTGTCCACTTTCCATTAATATGGCAGCCCATCATCGGTTTAGGTATACGGGAACGCCGCTGCAAATCGTGTAAATATTTCATAAAATAGTTCATACCGAAAACATCAGAAAACAATGGTTTCCTCATATTCTCTCTCAAAATCCGACACATTAACCGTTGATTTCTGGGATTGACATTCACCTGTTACTTTCTATATCTTCCTCAAGCAACTCTCGCCCGCTGAAAAAAGCCAGTGCTCAAGCTGCCTGTGTCACGGAGACTGTACCGTCACGCCGTCTCAGAGCACTCCGCGTTGCACCCATGGCAGATCGCAAGGTGCGGGGCCTGCGGGGCGAAAAAAGCGGCAATTGCTGGTAGGCAATTGCAAGCTCGGTCAATCTTGGACGGGTATGGTAGATATTGGATGATATTGGTAGATTTTTGAAGCAAAATGCTTAAAAGTATCATAAAGTACCTAAGATTACACATTCCATTTGTATGGGATTATGATTGTATAGCCATGGAAACCTCATTTGTCCAGTCCTAATCCAATGACCTGCGTCAACTGGCGGGAGTCAAATCACGTCAGTTATACCACTATTACCCTCTGGTAAACATGTTTAAAAAAATGTAAAACCATCATTTTTTAATGGGTAAATCAACTCTATGACCATTTTCAATAGCTATGTTAGTTTACCAGAGGGTATCGCTCATATTGCCAAGGCGTGGGCTGTAAAACATGCATGTCTATTTGACATGTTAGTGATTGAAAACCTCGCCACCTCGTATCATTTTATGAGATCTTACACAAGTTGGCAAGCATCCAGTTGGATACTATCAACCTCTCATGACCTATTGAATCCTATTGCAATGTAAAATTATTTTGCAGCCACTTGGACTGCAATATCTATTCGTAACATTTATAAACTACACTGAGCCGATCTCCACTGCCCTGCCCTGGCAGGCCGTGATCAAGAACGCCGACATGGCCGAGGATATGCAGCAGGATGCCATCGATTGCGCCACGCAAGCCTTGGAGAAGTACAACATTGAGATGCTTGGAGGTTGGAGGTAGGCAGATATCTTGCGAAAAATGGAATCTTCATGAATTCTGAGTGTGTATGCCTATATAATCCTATATATACTTATGGCTCTGTGGATATATTGATGAATTTGATGGGTTGATCGCGTTCTTTCTTGATGTTTTTGGCCAATTGAAGTAAGGCATCTATTTCTCGCATTTCAGGGTCCAACGGTCTGAGGAAAGACATTGCGGCCTTCATTAAAAAGGACAAAAGCGCTGAGAATGGAATCCTGGAAACTGCTGGCCATCTTACCCTTTGGTAATTTAATGTAATTTAAATCTATAAATGGATACAAATGGGAGATGTTCCACAACTATGTTTTTTTTAACCGTTTAGGGAAATCAGTGTTGTCTCTTGATGGGCTTTAAAAGGATGACAGTTGATGAAGATTGTTGAAGTTCATATTGCGGACCTAGTCGTGATGCTGCAACAGATTCCTGGGTTTCACGCAGTAGCCGCAGACCCTCTGGTAAACTAACAGCTTGCTATGGAAAGATCCACCATTGTTTAATGGGAAAACTCACTATTTCTATGGCCATTTTCAATAGCAAACTGTAACAAATTACCAGATGGTACTTCTACTTGCCTCATGTTGATGAAGCCTTCCCTTCTCCAATCTTATCCATCCGTGTGATCATGTCCAGAAATGGTAAAAAAAGGCAACATTTACATACCCTCAACTACTGAGGGTCTAACATGGGAGACCCTGCAGGGTCCACGTCGAGAGGGTCTAATATGGTAGGCCATGGTATTTTAGACCTTTCAGCGTGGACTAAAGTAGACCCTAACATGTGGGCTGATGTATATATATATATATAATTGCATGAACAAACTATTGCATGCGAAATTCAATGCCTGGAAAGACATCCCAAAGATGCCCAAAGAACATCCCAAAAAAACAGCACCAAATTGATTTCATCAAACAATGACTAACTATATGACACTGATACTGCATCAAGACACCTTCCATCAAAACCAACCCTGGCCCACATGATGCCTCCAGCTGCAATTCTCCAGAATGCTTTGATGCAGCAGATCCTGGCAGCACAGAACCGTAAACAAACAACAAAAACTATACACAACAGGTTGGTTCACACCAGAAACAAACATTGACCCTGAACCTATCAAGGGTGATCTGGGCAGCATTGGGTCTAGAATGGTATCCACAAGTCTGTGTCCAAAAAGGGTGTTACCTTACCAAGGGGTATACCATATTAGACCCTTCTATGTTTACCAGCAATCAAAAATGGTGGACCATACCAAGATCAGTACCCACTAATGACCATAAAGAAACAACAAAAACTATACACAACAGGTTGGTTCACACCAGAAACACATATTGACCCTGACCCTATCAAGGGTGATCTGGGCAGCATTGGGTCTAGAATGGTATCCACCAGTCTGTGTCCATGAAGGCTGTCATCTTACCAGGGGGTATACCATATTAGACCCTTCTCTGTTTACCAGCAATCAAAAATGGTGGACCATACCAAGATCAGTACCCACCAATGACCATAAAGAAACAACAAAAACTATACACAACAGGTTGGTTCACACCAGAAACAAACATTGACCCTGAACCTATCAAGGGTGATCTGGGCAGCATTGGGTCTAGAATGGTATCCACCAATCTGTGTCCAAAAAGGGTGTTATCTTACCAAGGGGTATACCATATTAGACCCTTCTATGTTTACCAGCAATCAAAAATGGTGGACCATACCAAGATCAGTACCCAAAACCAACCCTGGCCCACATGATGCCTTCAGCTGCAACTCCCCCAGAATCAGAAGGCTTCGGTGCGCAGGTTCCTGGCATCACAGAGCCATGGGATGGGGTCTACAATGGTGTCACCAAGGTTGGGGTGAGGTGAAGCATGTATTCACCTCAAGGCTTTTCATAGTAGACCTCCTGGTTGACCTCCTGGCCTTTGCATGAGCAAATTCATGCATGCGAATCAATGGAAAGACATCCCAAAGATTCCCAAGAACATCCCCCAAAAAACAGCACCAAATTGATTTCATCAAACAATGACTAACTATACCCCCCTAAAAGTAGATGGCGCAACTCCAAAACCAAAATACCCATAAGATGGCACCGCGCGGTGAGAAAGAAAACGGCGCTATTTTAGCTGGAACATGCATCGAGTTCCGCCAATTGAAAAAAAATCACCCTACTTTAAAATGAGAAGGTAGATGGCGCAACTCGTTTTGAGCAAAGTGACAGTGGCAGAGTGCTTCTGATGAGACACAACCAGCAGGGGTCTAACATGGTAGCCCCAAACGAAGGGTACCAGCATGCTAGACCCCACGTCCCCAAATTTTCTGAAGTCTATTTTACTTTTGGAAAACATCGAGATCGCCATGGGGAACACCATTCTAGACCCAAATCTTGGGGTCTAAACCAAGGCCCCCACGGGCCCAACCTAGTAGTTGAGAGGATACATTTACAGGAAACGTCTATTTCTGGAAAAAACTCACCATGTCCTTCAGAATTTCCCACAAACCAACCCAGTGATCATATTGATCTGTTTAATGTTTAAGATTCCCACGGTCATGTTTTTTTTAATGACTATCTGGTTGGTGGTTTGGAACATGTTTCATTTTTCCATATATTGGGAATAATGATCCCAACTGACTTTCATATTTTTCAGAGGGGTTGAAACCACCAACCAGCTATATATTGGTGGCATTTCAAGCACAGCCATCTGTCAAAAAAACGACAAGCAGGAGTTCGACAAGAAGTACAACCCCACTTGGCACGCGGTGGTGGGGCGTAACTTCGGATCTTACGTGACGCATGAGACGAAGCACTTCATCTACTTCTACCTGGGACAAGTGGCTGGTTGGTGAAACTTACAAGATTCGGGAATAAACAATGGAAATGGATAGAAATTCTTAGAAATTGATACTTCAATACTCACAACTGGTAGGATATGGATTTCACCATTGGTTTTCATGGAGGCTGGGGATTTAATGGGATAATGGGGGATCCCCAAGCTCGCTGGATGGTTTGTAATGGAAAATCCTATGAAAGTGCATGTGCCCCCACTTCAACTTTCGGAAACCTCCATTTACAATATAGATAGATAGATAGATAGATAGGTAGGTAGGTAGATAGATAGATAGATAATCAACCGATAGTGCCTGGCTGTCGGTTTGGAAGTTTTTATTTTCAACCATGGAAATGCGATCGTGATACAAGCTGATGAGAATCATATTGTTTCTTACATATCCCATTATAATGGCTACCCCGAATTCATGAACCTTCGTCATCCATTGATGATGACTCAATGTTGCTGGAATTACTTGCTACTACTCACACCATTTTTTGGTAACAATTGTATTGGAACTAGCTGCATAGTAGCATCCATGTTAAGTCCCATCTTGCAGAACAAGTGGTTGAATGACCACCAGATTCTTACAAGCTGTCGGTGATAGATTTTCCCATAAAATCCCATCATGTCATAATTTCCCATAGAATTTATTGGGATTTAATGCTTATTAATAGGAACTTAACTATCGAGAATGGGAATAGAATGGTGGTAGAATAGGGATTTGATGGCATATACCCTCTGGCAATCAAACGCGGCAATAGAACAGACCCTCTAAAATGAGGGTTTTCATGGGAAAATCGACGAAAAAATGGTGGATTTTTCGGCATGTTTGATGTTTGATGAGACCAGCGGATATCCCTTAGACTCCCATAAAATTCCATTGAAATTCCCATGAAACTTGTGGTCCACCCAAGAGGTGGCGATTCTTCTCTTCAAATCTGGCTGAGGCTGCGAGGATGGCTAGCTGGAAAATCCACGAAACGAAATGGAAGTTTTAATGGGAAAATCAGCTATAAATGGTTATATATTTGTTTAAACAATGGGTGTACCATCTCCCCAACGTTTTTGCTATCTAGTGGTGAACGGAGGGAGCGCTTCGGAGCTATGGGTATTCATGTTCTCCATGAAATGGGGAGCCAAGGCACATGAAAAACTGCATCAACATCTTGAAATTGGAAAGTTGTTGGCATTTCAAGGTGGACAAACCATGCAAAAACTTGGTTTCAAAGTGTAATTATAGCCCAATTTTTGTTGGTGAGTATTTCACCTAGCTGCCCGCCATGCCAGGAAACAGTGAGGCCTGATCCCACGCCATCAGGTGATCGTGACAATCTGGAAAAAAACAGCACCAGCATTGATACAGTTTTCTGGTGCTTGTACAGGTTTTATCGTGGTTTTGCGGGGTTTACTAGTGTTTATTAGTGTCGATTTGGGTTTACCATCTCACCAGCTAAGAGCCAAACCCTGAGAATAACATTTGGTTAGATCTTTTGAGCTATCCAATGGTGAACGGAGGGACCTATGGAGTTTTGGCTATCCATATTCCTTCCAAACATGGGAAGCCAGTTGGAGCTACAGAGACAACTAGAGGAAAGTAATCTTCCCTCAGCTCTAGGGTCTTAGTTGGATGGAATACCTTGGTGAAGCAATCCCTCCGCCTTTCTGAAAGGTGTTGGGGATCAGATGAGCAGTGGCTGCGATACCCCTCTTGATTGAAGATCATCTGGGGATTATACTCTCCAATATTTTGGGGGTTGATGCAATCCATTATGGGAAACCGTATGAACCAACAAGTATAACACTCCGCACGGCCTTTTGGAATTTGATATGTGCCATGGCCAAAATGAGATATAAACTTATGTTCGAAGGTTGCAACATCACACTTCCAGACGTTGAAACATCGCCGGAGCCTCCAGTATGCCTGGAAAATCTACCCAAGCAATTCTTCCAACATGATATCAATTTCAGTACCCCTAAAGAAGAAGCTTTAGATAATTAAGTTATATAGTTATACTAAGTTGAATAACTACAGATATCGGTAAAAACATACAAATCGATCTTTTCTTGGGTGCATGTGAGTGTTCATTGCTGGATGGCGTGGGGCCCCCCTGAGGATGAAACAATCCAGCAGGGCGCGGCAGTGTCACGGGTGATCCGGAGTTTCAATGGTAGCGTGGTTTATTTTGGGTTTTAGACTAGATTTATCTAGATTTAGAAAAAAGTAATTCAGCAAAAACGCCAAGATTTCCTAGAATTTTAGAACGTTCATCTTTGGTGTCTGTTTTGGTATTTATTCAATTCAGTCGAATCGTTGTTCTTTTTTTTATGTGTTCCTAGGATGAGGATTCCAAAATCACCAAAACAGAAAAAAAAATAAATGGGGGGAACCATGTGTTTGATGTAATTACCCGTGTTTGCAGCCCATTTGGTTGGGTTGGTTGATTGGTAAAGGTGAAAAAAAAGTGTATTTCACTGTCTAAGCTACTGTAATTATGCTACACTTTGCGCATGATTTTTTGTTGTTAATCATTCCATCCCTGAAAGCGGATGCTCTTCCAACAAAAATCCGGAGCTTGGCTCAACCACCAGATCAAAACAGCCTGTCACCTGTGATGCGACTGTATATCTATGCTAGGTCCCACCTGGGATTCGATATGATTTGCTTCCAAAAGGGCACTGGAAGCTGCTGAGAGGAGAAGGGTCAGGTGTTCTTTAGCTAGGTCGCCACTTCACTGCAACCCCTAGGGATTTGGGGTTTCGCACCCCAAAAGCCATGGGTTTTTGAGATAGATAGGGTTAGGTATCATTTGATTCTTCATCTGGTGGGATTCACACTATCATCATTTTCCCATATTTTCATGTGTTTGCCTTATTCAGGTACTGCATGCCCCATTGAAACAAACACAACGAAGCCGGAACTGCCCAAGATCTGCTGGAACTGGGCAATGATCTCGGGAAGACCCGGAACCCAGCAAGGTCAGTCACGAAAAACTTACGGTTTCAATCATTTTCTTTGGGCTAGTATGGGTGCGCCTGAAAATGATATATACCACCAAAAAAAAAGTGTTTTAGTCAGGAACATGATGAGGAACCAGCTAACTAAATGGCAACTAAGACCATCCTGTTTTCAGACATACCAACTTAGATACCTAAAGCCCATAAAGTCCCATGAATTTGTGCTGGTAGAATACCTAACTTAGCTAATAAACATGTATTTCACAGCTGAAAAACTTGTTTTGGTTTGGGGGTTGTGATCCCACTGACAGCATGTTCCGAACATTCCATGTGATTCAGACTTGGTTGGGTGTGCAGTTGCGTGTTTGGCCATAAATGGTGGCATTGTTTAAAATAACCTATATAACCTAACCCCAGAAAAGGGAATAGCGTTAACCAAAAAAATATAACAGGTGTTGGAGGTCACGATACATTGACCTACAGTAATTAGTAACCATTAACCAAACATACCAAAGATACCAAACCTATCTTCAGAACCTCACCAGCCCATGTGGCCAAAGATGCGCCTTTTGGTATCCTCAGATTGTCCATGTTTGGCATTTGAAGCGCTGCATCATGGCGTCATGGGACTATTGGGTTTGGCGGACCCGGCGCTGCAGTATGCGGTGGAGGAGGCCGGGCTTTGCCCCGGCAAAAGCCACAAAAAGCGATGGAAATCCCATGGATTTCCGAAGAATCCCATGGAAATTCCCATCCCGGTACAGGATGGGGCCCCCAAAGATACTCGTAGCTAAGCAACTAAGTTGCATTCAGTTGCCTAAAAAAAGTGGCTGAATTCTATGGTTTATGCTAGATTTAACTATAGTGAATGGATTATAAACAATAACCAATTGGGTTTATATAGTTAACTAATGGTAGATAATGGTAGATATAATTAATAGATTACAGATATAACTATAAAACTATAACTAATTGTGCTTTATAAACCAACATTCACATCACTGGAGTGCACCATCCCCAGGTCCTGGGCTTCGACCCGCTGCACCTGGGCCACGCCAATTCGGCCATCGCGCGTCTGTCGAAGTCCAAGCGCTGGCGCCAGGGCGAGGCGCTGCTGGCTGCGCTGCGGCCGGCAGCGCTGCAGGTGGATGGTGGATCTATGGGAGATGGAGAGGTTAAGAAACGCAAGCAGTTTGACAGGGAACATGATGGTTAACATCAAACAGATCCCCAATTTTTATTAATTTTCAGACCAGAGAAGTAAGCGTCAGATTTTCATCTTGGAGCCACTACAAATACTGTACCCCTGCTGAATCGGAATTTGATGGCATTTAACGTGGTAGATGAAGTTTAACTATCATAGATATGGGGATGTAATTGATAGATAATGGTTGGCAAGTATATTTTGGTCTATTGGAGACAGTTACAACCCGTAAGAGAGACACTTCCCAATTGCACAACCAAGCAGTTGAACGGATGGGATAGGAATATGTTGCATGGTTCATCTGTACTTGGGTCGGTTTTAAGATCACGTTTTCATATGTGTTCACCACTATCTGGCATCATTTTTTTTTGTATTATTAGGTTTGCATCCATTGTTATAGATTATTTCCCCGTAAGAGATTAGGACAGATCCCTGTTACTTTCACGTAATTTAGCATGGATATGAACAACATAATTTTCGGCAGGCATTTCAATACGCAAATCCTAAACTGTGCATTTTTCCATAGCTACTTTAAAGTACCGGAGAGTATATCCCCATTGTCCACTATTCATCCATGATTGTTGGTTGCTTTCCCATCCTTTTCCATGATTGTGTTCCAATTATGTTCCCCTTCTTAACCATAACTATTATTTTCCTACTAATCCCCAGTGTTACGAACCATAACTATTCACCATTTCTGGTTGGTGGTTTGGAACATTTTTTATTGTTCCATATATTGGGAATGTCATCATCCCAACTGACGAACTCCATCATTTCTCAGAGGGGTGGCTCAACCACCAACCAGCTATATATTGGTGGCATTTCACCATAACTATTAACCATCTATTAACATCTATTAACCATAACTTTCCCATGATTTTCTAATTATTCACCGTAAAAAAAACGGCTCAGATCAGCGACGTGTCCCTCAACGCCGCCATTGGCCGCGGCGTCTTTTGGACCCGTGCTCTGGGGCTGCTGCAGCGGCTGCGAGCCTTGCGGCCGAGGGATGAGACACGGCTATGATGCGGGGTTCTTATGGTGGTGATTTTGCTTTCGCAATGTTATAGAATATAGCAAAAATAATGATAATAATATGTACATATACACATATATTTATATTTATTTATTACATATATATATATATATGTAATTATATACATTGTGTGTGCGCGTTTTTGCTTGTGTGTTTATTGCTACCTGAGCTGCTTCATATCAGGGAAAATTGTAGCAAATGCCCAATAGGGGAAAAATATGTTCCCAACATATTATGGCCTTCTATAGCGCAGTGCCTTTAGTTCAGGTTGCTGATAATGCCACAAAAGCTTGTCATTGTGACAGGTAACATGATGACAAACCACGGGAACGGGGCACGTTTGGAGAAACCCATGACCACCATGGCACAACCTGTTACTCCATGTTCTGTTCACCAGGTTCAACCTTGGACTGTACATTGAATCCAGCCTTTTAAATGTTGAAACTCAAGGCAAGTTCAAGTTAACTGGAACGTTTGAAATCTTCGTTTTTGTTGGTTGCAGTGTTCTACCCCACAATTTGTGGTAGAGTGATGTAGAGTATCTCAGTCACTTCGGATTTGTTCAACACTTAAGGCCATAATGTGCTGGCTGCATTCAGCCACACTATGCCTATATTTGAGCGGTCCATATCCCCAAGATCCAACAGTTTGTAATGCTTAAATCACAAATATGTGTAATTTGTAGCCTTTGGTTGGCACATGCAAGGTCTTTATCAATGTCCTTCTGTTTGTTCAATCCCAGGACAGGTGCCTTATTTTCCAGTTTTTGGTGCTAAAAACCATGTGTTTCTTCCATTCTATGCTAGTCAAATACTTAAATCCAGTCTTCATCATATTTTCTGCTCATGATATCCTGAAACCTAAGTGTGTTTTTCTGCTTTTGAAGCCTCCATTTTTCATCCCCAACCAGCTCACCCTGGAGGCCATTGGTTCCAACGCAGCCTCCAGTGTCTGCGGTGCCGCGCCGGAAGGTGCACAAGGCTGGCGCTCGGCGCGGAGGCTGTTGGCGCAACTTGCGGAAGACGGGCTGCGAGCCACGGCGGTGAGCTGCTGGGCGATTAGGGAGTTGCAGGGTCAACCCCCCAGTATAAATCTTAATGATGTTTAGCATTGTTAGCACTTTATTTGTTGGATGTTTATTGGATATGAATTGCTTTGCTACTGGATTTTGGTTGAGAGTATGCCATTCGCACACCTAATGGTCAATGGCCCCAGATATCCCAGCAATACAACGCCCAGACACTTTTTTTGGCCCAACATCACTCTTAGGTTTAAGGTTTTAGGGTTTGAGAATTAGGGTTTTACGTAATTTACTGTGTTTTCTTCGAGTGCCTCGGGCAAAACGATGTCTTTGGCCGTAAACCCTAGCCCTAGCTAAGTTGGTTGAGGTCAATGGAATCACTTGGATTTATACCATATTGGATGCATTTATATTATATGGATTTATATGGTATCTACTGTATGTAGTTATACCATATATTATCTATATAGTTAGTTTGGTTTATAGACCAACCTATAAATTTGATGAGTTCACTGTTCTACTACTGGGATTATTGGTGGATGTATACCGTATACCATGAATATACCAATTGTCCAAGAAAACATCCCAGCAATAAATCAATTTGGGTATAAACTCGGTTTATTACTGACTATTGGGTACATGAACCATCAGTCGGGGATGCATTACCAGTGGACGATCAAACATGATTAACGATTGACTGTGTCTATATATATATATCATATGTATATAATATACGCATAATTTATGTGCATATATATATATAATTTATATGAAATATCATAGATTAATAAAGGATAGTAGTTGTGGTTAACGGACTTCCAGCTGACTAGGCATTTTGTGTAACTAAGATTTCCGTGCTATGTTTTTTTCAATGCACAAAGATAGTGAGATGACCATCAGAAGAAAAACAGAAAGGTCTTTGTCTCTTAAGGTTTTATAGTTGGACATGCAAAACTGGGCAAACGACCAAAAAATCAGGCTGCAGCCATTATCACCAACAATAAGAATGTCAAATCCGCATTGATAAACCATGATAAACCCTGGGGCTCTTTAATTGGTCGGGGTGGTACCAGTTCAATTAATAGGAAGCGATCAGAATTGGGGAGGGGTAGACCCGAATTGTTCAACCAGGGTTTATCAATCCGGGGATGATGTGGTTGGAAAATCAGCGCCATCAGCTCGCGCACTTGCAAAGTGAGCACGGCCATATATTTCCGACATATTAATGTTTTTTTATTCGTTTGAATGTCCCTATCTTTTTTATACACAATCATATTTAGAGTTAATCAATGTTTATCCGAACCGATTAACAAGTTCCGAGGTTTCAATGCCGCCATTTCTGCTTGCAGTGACATATCCTGGCGTGGCGCGATTTCGTTGTGGCGCGCTTTGGGCGCGTTGGAGGAACGAGCACTTGGGCGGTGGGGTTTCATTGGTTCATGTGTGGTCGATGAATGGTAAATTCATGGTGAGTTCATGTTTCAAAGAACTAAACCATATATGTAGTTAGCCAGTCCATAGCTATAAATTGACACACCATGTAATGATATTAGATATTATACCACTAGAGTTATAGTTATAGACACTATAGTTCAACCAGTATGGGTTTTATGGTATAGCGACCCCCTTAACGGATACCCCAGGAGACCATCTCGCGCAACGCGGTGCTGACTTCGCTGGGCTCGGCGCTCGGGTCTGTCGAATGGGCCAAGGCGCTGCAGCTGCTGCAGTGCACGGGGGCAGCAAGGTGCGCCGACGAAGTCGGCACTTGTTACTTTTGCGATATGTAATCGCTATAATGCGGTTAAAACAATAATAGACCACCCACTTGGGAATGGTTAATTTATACCACCTACATATTTATGGTGAAATTGGGGATGGGTAGTTGGGTAGTTTAATCCTTCAGTCTTTTGGTATGAATGGGATTATCTACGTCCACCAGCTAAGAATTCATGTTTTTGATTTGTTTGCAGGGTATCTAAGATTGGCCATGATGAGATGAGATGATTGATATATTTTCCATGTAGTAATTAGTATGGTGAGAACTGTTTATTATACTATCCAAAAATGATGTGATGGTTATTGGTTACAGAACATTTGGGGGCCCTTATCAAGCAGTGTTGATATGTAACAACTAGTAATATCTGCCAATGTAATGCCAACCACTGATTAAAACAAAGCCCCGGGCTGTTGATCATTGGGAAGGCACCATTTTAGTAGCAGATGAAATCACTATTTTTGGGGTCGTCCGTAACCCCCAAGGAATCAACCAGGGGTTAGTCTCATCCCGGGCTTGACATTCCCTCTTTTTTTTTGGTTTAGCCCATGATCTTGATTTGGATCCTGGATGGTTTTTGTATGTGTTTGCGAATGACAAAACAAATGTCATCCAGGTGCTTTTTCAGTCTCTAACCTGGCTACTCGTAAGATCTCGATGTTTCATGGACAAATATACCAGATTGTCTTTTGAATAGAAGATGTATGATCCACTACCAGTGTTGATGGACAATTTACAATGTGGCTTTGCAGTGTGATTCCTTCTGGTTTCTCAACCTTCCTGCCGGCTGTGAGTTGACACCCGCGCTGAGTTCAGTAGCGGTTCATGGTGCCAAATGGCTTCAGAGCGCTTCTTCGGTAAGTTCATTTTTTTTGAGCGTGGCGCGGGCGATGCATATTTTTGCAGAGTATCTATAGCTGGTTGGTGGTTTGGAACATTTTTTATTTTCCATATATTGGGAATGTCATCATCCCAACTGACGAACTCCATCATTTTTCAGAGGGGTAGGCTCAACCACCAACCAGATAGTATCCATAATATCAATGATATCCTAGTATTCCATATAGAGTGTATATATCCATTATCCCATAATATTTTTAGGATCATTATTCTATGTATAGGCGACTTTTCATCGATATTCCCATGAACCCCCCACGTTTTTGGATGGGGATTGCCAGGCTGCAGAGGAGTCTGATCAGCTACAACTCCACAGTGAACTGCTGCGAAAAGGCGCAATGTTGGTAACTTGGTATCTTTTTTTAGCACCGAAGCTGTAAGCCAGTGACATGGATAATAACGGTTAATGGTGGACGCAAACATGATCCTGAATGTTTTTGCTGCAATGGATTGGTAAACATCTGGGTCAAAATGGTTCTATAACGAGTAATTCGTCCATGATCTCGCCCATTTCCTGGCCAGTGAAATGCACGAATAGATGTATGAAAAATGATGAACACAGTTGGTGGGTCAAACATGGATGCTTGGAAACAGAACCGCAATACAGCGGCCGAGGGCTGCTTCAATGGGCCTGCTGGAAGCCATTCAAAGCCAAGAATTGCTGCCAGATCTCTTCAGCTGCAATGGGATCCTCAAGGCCTTCGTCTTGGCCCATTTTTTTGACTTCAAAACGAATAGAACTGGGGTTTAACCAGCCAAAAATGATGATTTGCTGTGTGCGTAATGGATTGTACGGGATTGTATGGGATATTGGTGATTATTAGTGGACATTGGTGATACAAGTAAGATCCAATAAGAGTCCTTGGTGGTCCTGGTTTTTTTCCCACTGGACAGGTTGGGAAAGCGGCCATGTGGGGAATCTCCATGGGGTTTATCCAACAAACATCCCCAGCGTGTGTGAGGAGCCCATCCATAACCCCGCTGCTGTGAGCATCGGCAGAGGTAGTTGAGCTACTTTGACAGGGGACTTTGATGTTTTCCCATCGCAAAAATAGCCAGAGAACTTGGAGAACGCAACAAGATACACTTCAATGGCAACATGTGCCAACATGTGATGTTCGATTGTTTACCATCTGGTAATTCAACATAGCTATGGAAAATAGCCCGTTTATGGATGATTTACCTATCAACAATGTTGATTTTCTATTGCATAATTGTGTTAAATGACCTAAATTACCTCTATCAAACATGTTGATTTTCTACTATATACATGGCCACCAGATATTACCAGACGGTAATCAATCATCAGCTGCCATTCATCACCATAACTCGCCTGGGTCATCGGTCAGGCCTGCCACTGGAGGGGCAGCTTGCGGTGGCTCTCCTGGATGGGACAGCACAAGATTCAGCCCGATCAGGTGGATAAAAACCGTGTGAATATTAGTGGAGAAAATGGGAATTCACCACGGGTTTTAAAACGGTTAAAATATAGTATACTATAAAAATATTATCGGGGCAAAATAATTTTACTGGATAAAATGCGATCTGGGTAAAGTATAACGACCTCACTGTTCTCCCTCACTGGGATCATGGTTTATAGGGGAAATCATCCCCAATATTAGCCTTAACTCAAGTTAGTGAAAAATTATAATTTACCCGGATACTATTATATCCCAACTGGGAATTACCATGGGTAAATATCATGTCATATTCCCATTATGTAAATTATCATGAGGATATACCCTCTGATCATTTAAAAGTTTGCTATTGAACATGGCCATATAGATTTAGGTGATTTACCTATGAAAAATGGTGGATCTTTCCATAACTATGATAAATTACCAGAGGCTAATACTTATATTTCATACTATGCACCAGTTGGGGGTATACCACTACATAAAATGTCCAGTTAATGGAGATAGATACTCCACCGTCAACCCTACCTGGCTCCTGGGGATCCAAGTTGACTGGCTGTGTTTTTCGACTCCACCAGATGGTAAATATGAATGGTACCCTCTGGTAATTTAACATAGCTATTGAAAATGGCCATGTTTAATGGGAAAACTCACTATAAATGGCCATTTTCAATAGCTATGTTAAATTACCAGAGGGTAACTCTGAAACACTGCAAATACTGGGATTATCCCATTGTAAAGGGATAAACCATCTACCAATTGGTGCAGTTTTCTTCCATCCACAGTATCATGGGGGTATAATGATGTCATGGGATGTTATGATGATTCTGGAACCAGGTAAATCAAATCATCTATAATGAGCCATATTCCATAGTTATATTAAATTACCAGAGGGTACAGTAAATATCATTTCTTGCATTATGCCGGATCAGATATATATTTCCTAGCTGTAATTCAAAAGATGGTCGCTCTCCTGAAATTTTAGCCATTGCTTCATGCTTGTTGGTGAAATCCTGCCTAATTTGATTTGAATCATACCACATTGAGTCCCCATAGTTTGTGATTTTAGCTTCTTTTTCCACCAAGGCATTTGTCCCAAATGATATCCTCCTATTGCTGGTTCCCTCCTCATGTTGCAGTTGCTCATGACCAAATTCGACCATTTTTGTGCTCAAAACCTAAGTGAAGCCTCCCTGTTTGCTGGGTTGACCATCATTCTTGCTAGTCTAAGCTGCCTGTTTGCTCCTGGTTTCAATCGTTTTCATCCACCTTTCAGGAAACCATGGACCTCACACATTGGTGTCCCTCAGTTCCAAGTTTGTCAACCCAGCCAAGAAGAAAGATACCTCCAGCCTGTTCAACTCCAGTTATCACGCTAAATTCAACTAAGTTCGGTAACTTGACTTAACCATACTTAACCGACTTTTCCCCAAAAAATCTCCTGGTTTTATCATGGTTTCCCCAAAAAAATGGGCCTTCACCATGGATGGTTTCTCACCAGGTGAGTTTGTCCTCCTCCTTGACCACTTGGCATGGCACCTGGCCCCATGCCACGGCTTTGCTGTCAGTGCTGGTGCCCAATCAGGCGCGGCTTGAGAAGTGGATTAACTATCGAAGTTATGGATGGTTAGCTATGGGCTAGAAGTTTCGATGTTTTCTTGGCCAGATTTAAACCACCCCCAAATAGATAAAAAGGTATAGAAAGGTCAATCAGTCACTATATTTTACAAATAAGTTGACTATGTTCTTTGGCCGGGGGGTGCTATAACCCTCACGTCATGTTTTTACAAGGAAGCATGAGGATCAACCATGAGAAAAGTGACTGGCCTGGCGTGGCTAGGTGGAAATATGTTAGATATTTCTTGAGATCCTTCCATTTCACTATCGAAGCGTTGAGCAAACTAATCGGTGAGTTGGGTAGTTTAGTATACAACTGGTCCACTCTACCAAACATGTGGTATCTTAAGTAGCTAAAAAGCAATTATTCAAGGGTATCCTGGATTAGCCATGGTATATAAGATGGCAAAACTGCTGGTAAAAGGTTTTTATCAGCCCTGGTTTTACGTACCAACTATAAATCGGGTTTGCTCATGTTTTTTTAATTGCCATTTCAGGAACCTGAATTGGAGGTACCTACCATATATAAGGCCTATATAAGGCCTATGCAAGGGAATATCGCCACAAAATATGGTCTTATATGGTACAGTAGCTCCATTTGAGGAAATTCCCTTGGTTTTTTCTTCATCTGAACAATAAAGTACGTTTTTGAAACTTGGATGGTAGCAATCCCCTCCTCCAAATACAGAATCGACTCCAAAATAAATAGATCCAACAGTTTTCAGCAGTTTTTCGATTGGTGGGTGCCTGATCGTACGTAGGACGAACATGCGTTTCTTCATACAGGTAGCCAGCAATTGTTTATTTGTTGTGTATGGGGAAGTGTCCAAGTAATATACATGGATGATTGTGGAGAAATAGTATGTGATAAGTAGGTTGTTCATGATCCATGGCATATACTCTACCTGTTAAGTATGTTTAAGATTGTTTAAGTACAACATGTGGAGTTGCTGACTGTTTGCTAACCTTCAGGATCTTCCAAGTAGTTGAAAACCAACAACATCCGTGGTGGATATATATGATTTGGTGGCCCCTTTTTTTGGATGCAAAAATCATTCGCTACAGTATTTGTCACTCTATATAATATAATCTATATACCGCAAAAGTTTGTGATCATGTGCTTCTGCAAAGATATCCTGTCTCGGATGATGAAGCCTCCATTGGATTTGATACCATGTACCCTCTGGTCCTCTGGCAATTTGACCTAGCTATTGGAAATGGCCCAATTATACACGATTTACCTACTAAAAATGTGACTTTCTATAGCTATGCTAAAGTACTCAGACGGTATACTGTTGTTATCTGTTGTTCTTTGATTTTGTTCATCCACTGGCTGCTTCTGGTTGTGGTTATATACATTATATACAAGCAGCGACCATGGAGGACAAGCAAGAAAAATGGAGGATACGTTGCCGAAATTTTCGTGGTCTCAGCGGGATGTCACTGGGCTGATGGTTAGTGAAGTCTTATAATTTCTCCAGAATTGTTTAACAACTATTGGATTACTTGCGATGTATTGACCTATTAGGACCTATTCTAAGTGTATAATCAAGTATAATCCACTTGAATCAACTATACATATAGCTAGGAGGCTGCAAAAGAGGTGGATTTCTCATATCCTTCAAACGTTCAACCTTAAATAACTAGATACAACAATTAAGCAATTACCAAAAACTGGGATTCGCAAAATCAACTACCTGGATGAGCTGAGCTGATTTTTTCAACGGGAAATCCTCTGTCAAAATGGGGACTCCTCCATCCTTTGTCACAAGAGGTTTGCATCAGCGCTGCCATCACCGCGTGTGAGAAATCCGCGCAGTGGACATCAGCCGCTGCGGCTTGGCTGTGTTTCACGGTGATTTCGATCTCCAGGATTCAGCTCTATGGGGTCTGAAAATGTCCGGATTAACCAAGAAGAATCGTGTTTTGAGCATTGAAACTGTGATGAAGCTGATATCATAGGTGAATATAGCTGGTATCTATAGGTGGTTGGTGGTTTGGAACATTATTTTTCTTTTTGACTTTCCATATATTGGGAATATCATCATCCCATTTGACTTTCATATTTTTCAGAGGGGTAGGTATACCATCAACCAGATTAAAACTATGACGAAACTGATATCATAGGTGATACAACCATCAATAAGAGGAAGATTCATTTGATGACGCTGATTTGACCGTGAAAAACGGAGACCTAGTCATCCATTAAAATAATCGCATGATAGGGATTTCGCCAGAATGTGGAGATGAATCTCATTGGGATCGTCATCGCTGGATTGCACTGGGATATCTGGGATAGGGTACACCAATCTAGGGGACATGTCAATTCATAATTGACTGACAATGGTGGGTGGATGAATTATCTGTCTATATATAAAAGGTTGGATTTATTAAGCAGCAATATATAATCGGGATTGAATGGTCAAAGATAGGGAATTAGCCAGTGTTGGGCATTTATGTCTACATACTAGTAACAGGATGTCTATGGGATATATGATGCATACTGTATACCACACATGTATACACATGTAATATTCGATTTGGGTTGGTCTGAAAGTGGCGGATACCTCGAAATGCAACTATGATTTATCATCAAGTTGTGGGGTGCCCTCCTTTCAGACAAAGCCAAATGGTGGACAAATCAATACTTACTATAGGTAACTGTTAAAATAGGCAGGACCAACTACTGAGGACGGACCAACTGCTGAGGACGCTAAAGTGCGTTTATCCAACCCACACAACCTAGACGTGCCATATATTTTTCGTAAAGGTCTGATAAGGATTGTGTTTTTTTGCCTAGATTAGTTCGTGTGAATACTTGACAAGCTATGATATGCATTTCCAGGAAAACAATGGTTTCCCGATGTTTTTCTTAAACCAATCCATTTACATTGAATATTAATATAGCGGTTATTTCCCTACAATTAGGCTTAACTCGGGTGTCTTATAAACATAAATCCTTGTTAAGAAAGCCACACGCGTCACAGATAAATCTGTCTTTAGAATTAAGTTCTGGATTTTATTTTTTTTGATAAGAAGTCTTCTGGTAAACCACTCAGCACAACAGGCCCGGCCCGGCCCTGCCATCCAACCGTTGGGACCAAGGAGCTGCTGGCAGCGTTGCGCATGTTGCGCAGCGCGGCTCCCAACAGCACCAGCTGCAATGCTGTGCTCAGTGCCTGCGAGAAGGGGTTCCAGTGGCTTCAGGCCCTCGATAGGTCCAACTTTGGCGAAGATAGCCATGATGGATATCGAACTAATGGGGTGAAACTAAACCAGCATTCACCACGGTGAATTTGACATACGGTGAATGTGACATGGTCCTGGCAGCCCGCAGGCAGTAAACATCTTCCGCCAGATTCACAGCAGCCTGCGTTGCAGCGAGACCACACTGAATGCAATGGCCAGTGCCCTTGTCAGTTTTGGCAATTTTGGGGGTGAGAACATGAACTATCGTTTCGGAACTCATATGGTTCGGGTGGGTTTGGGTCTTGAGGCCAGTAATACCTTGAAAACTGGAAAATAGGTAGGACTTGATGTTTCAGAATGATTCACATATGTCACATTTCCCATAACATCCCATAACTTAGCCACTTTGACGAGGTTTATCGCCGCCAATCGGGGCTGCATCAGGTGCCTGCGAGAAGTGTTCCCAGTGGCAGATGGCACTTCGCAACCTCCCGATGGTTGCTCGACCTTTGATTCTGTCGGTCATCCCTTGGCCTTGGGATGTGCCCCACAACACTTTGCTAATTTTGGCAGCATGCAACAACCTTAGCATGATAGAGGAGTAGGATATGGCCAAGGCAGATCTAAGAATCACCTGAATCAACGAATAATTTGTGAGCAAACATGAAATTTCAAGAGTCATCAACAAGCAAAGATGGGATGATGGGATTGAATAGTAATAGTTACTGCTGGGGATCAGTGGTTTTGGCATGTTCGTTTCCCATGCGACTCGTTTCCCCATGCCTCCCAGCAATGCGCAGCAATGCGGAGCTTGGGGACTTGGATCGTAGGATGGCAGTGGGCAAGAGAAGCACTTGATGGGCTTCAATGCGGCCATGTGCGCTTGCCATAAAGGTGACTTGGCTAGCTGGGAAAAATGGAAAGAATTCGGACATCGTGTGGAAAGATTGGATGAACAGAACATAACAGAACTCATTTCTACATCAACAGCGGGAAATGATACACAATAAAACCCGGCATTTGGGTCAAGTGCCAATGTTCCGTGCTGGTTTTTGGCCAAATGTATACCCTGATTGGGTTTGTGTTTGATGTTCATTTTATTGAAGTTTCTAATTATCCTACCCGGTATGGGGATCGCTACTATGTGTGTTTACTAATTATCTAGGCGGATGGAAAGTGGTGGCAACAACATTGCCTGAAGCCTGGCACTGTACCAGAGATGAAGAGAAATCATACTCCTTCGCAAACCACCACTCGGATGTGGTCCCCAGTTGATAGTCGATAAAAAGTAGTGGTTTATGCCCAACCATTCAGTTCACCCAGTTCGAAGTTAGCACTGGATGATTCCTCCTCATGTGGGCCTAACAAAATTGGCCAATCATGGACAACACCGTGGGATTTCTTGGGTTTTTCAAAGCCAGTGTTTTAAGAGGATTCAATGTCCAGAAACTTTGCTGCCAGACCTGGTTGGCAACCACCAAGCTACACCTGACACCTTGTCCGTAATGACTAATGACCATTGAATGGTTCATTCAATGGTTCCGGTGGGATTAGCTGGGAAAAAACATACATATATGTTTTACATTATGTACATTTACATACAGAGAGATCATTTTGCGAGGTTTACTTTCAGCAATCAGACTTCAAATATAGTATTGTTGACACAAACGACCAAAGCCTAGAATCCGGCCTACCAGCCCCAAGTGTGGTGACATGTGGTGACTTCATGATAGATTTCCGGCCCCTATACCCATTAACCCTTTGGATCCCTTCAGAAATCTCCATTCCCGTGACCTTTCCACATCCGTTAGGATGACATATGTCGAGAATCAGCTACTAATATGGCTCAAAGCTTGGCCCATGACGCGCTTTCTGCAGATGAAGTCCCTTCAGTTTCAGTGAAGATTCGCATGTTTGTTGTTTAACTGATTTTGATTGTTTAACATTTTTGCATCCAGTCCAATGTCTTTGAATTTGTCTTTCTTTTAAGTTTTAATGGGTGTTTTGATGGGTGATCTTATTCCCCAAACAGTGTGTCCACACTGGGGTTTTTACGGTAGTAAAGGCCGGTGCTTGATCAGGGTGCTCACTCTGGGCCTGAGCATTTTTCCTGTAAATTTCCGTAAAAGGTGGCTCTTGTGAAATGTTGACATGCATTTCGACTGCGCAGGCTCTCACAAAGTGTGGGCCGCGGTTTTGGGCTGCAGCATTTTTCCTGTAAATTTCCGTATCACGGGGCTCGTGTGAAATGTTGCCTTGCATTTCGATTGCGCAGGCTCCCACAAAGTGTGTGTGCGCCCGTGTTCTGGGCTCAATCTGGGCCGGAGCATTTTTCCTCTAAAATCCGCATAAAGTTCCCCAAACAGTGTGTCCGAGACCTGTACCGAGACATTGCATTGAGATCCTGTTGCAGAGACCTTGCCAAGAGGTCTCTTACATAAATCTTGCCAAGAGAGCTTTAATAGAGAGCTGGTACAGAGATCTCACAAAGAGATCTTGCCAAGAGATCTCTCATAGAGATCTTGTCCAGGAGGTTTTGCCAAGAGGCCTCTTACAGAGATCTGTACAGAGATCTCATCAAGAGATCTTGCCAAGAGATCTCTTGTAGAGATCTTGTCCAGGAGGTCTTGCCAAGAGACCTCTTCTAGAGATCTGTACAGAGATCTTGCCACAAAGTCTCTTACATAAATCTTGCCAAGAGAACTCTTCTAGAGAGCCTGTGCGAGGTTTGACAAGGAGATCTTGTACAGAGACATTGCATAGAGATCTTTTGAGATCTTGCCAAGAGGCCCCTTACAGAGATCTTGCCAAGAGACCTCTTATAGAGATCTTGTACAGAGATCTTGCCACGACACCTCTTATGGAGACCTTGTACAGAGACATTGCATAGAGATCCTGTTGCAGAGATCTTGCCAAGAGGTCTCTTGCATAAATCTTGCCAAGAGAGCATTTAGAGAAAGCTGGTACAGAGATCTCATAAAGAGATCTTGCCAAGAGATCTCTTACAGAGATCTTGTCCAGGAGGTCTTGCCAAGACACATATTACAGAGATTTGTACAGAGATCTGGCCATGAGGTCTCTTACAGAGATCTTGCCAACAGAGCTCTTATAGAGATCTTGTACAGAGATCTTGCCACGACACCTTATGGAGACCTTGTACAGAGACATTGCATAGAGAGCCTGTTGCAGAGATCTTGCCAAGAGGTCTCTTGCATAAATCTTGCCAAGAGAGCATTTAGAGAAAGCTGGTACAGAGATCTCATAAAGAGATCTTGCCAAGAGATCTCTTACAGAGATCTTGTCCAGGAGGTCTTGCCAAGACACATATTACAGAGATTTGTACAGAGATCTGGCCATGAGGTCTCTTACAGAGATCTTGCCAACAGAGCTCTTATAGAGATCTTGTACAGAGATCTCATAAAGAGACCTTGCCAAGAGATCTCTTGTAGAGATCTTGTCCAGGAGGTCTTGCCAATAGACCTCTTACAGAGATCTGTACAGAGATCTTGCCACAAAGTCTCTTACATAAATCTTGCCAAGAGAACTCTTCTAGAGAGCCTGTGCAGAGGTTTGACAAGGAGATCTTGTACAGAGACATTGCATAGAGATCTTTTGAGATCTTGCCAAGAGGCCCTTTACAGAGATCTTGCCAAGAGACCTCTTATAGAGATCTTGTACAGAGATCTTGCCACGACACCTCTTATGGAGACCTTGTACAGAGACATTGCATAGAGATCCTGTTGCAGAGATCTTGCCAAGAGGTCTCTTGCATAAATCTTGCCAAGAGAGCATTTAGAGAAAGCTGGTACAGAGATCTCATAAAGAGATCTTGCCAAGAGATCTCTTACAGAGATCTTGTCCAGGAGGTCTTGCCAAGACACATATTACAGAGATTTGTACAGAGATCTGGCCATGAGGTCTCTTACAGAGATCTTGCCAACAGAGCTCTTATAGAGATCTTGTACAGAGATCTCATAAAGAGACCTTGCCAAGAGATCTCTTGTAGAGATCTTGTCCAGGAGGTCTTGCCAAGAGACCTCTTACAGAGATTTGTACAGAGATCTTGCATGAGGTCTCTTACGGGGATCTTGCCAACAGAGCTCTTATAGAGATCTTGTACAGAGATCTTGCCAGGAGACCTCTTTTGGAGATCCTGTACCGAGACCTGTTGAAGAGAGCAGGGGTGTTGCTTGGAGACTATTTATAGATTTATAGTTTGAACCGAGATCTTACTCTTACAGATCTTCTGTGGAGATCTCCTATAGACACCTTGTACAGATAGCCTTACACAGGGATCTTGCACAGCAGCGTCTACAGAGAACCTGTCAAGGAGATCTTGCGCATGATCTTCTACAGAGATCTTCACAAAGGGAACTTGCAGAATCTTACCTGGTATCACTGGTATCTCTTCTTTTCACTACTGGGGTCGCTCTTGTCCTGCTAGCTTGCAGCCACTGATGCTTTTAGGTCTTAGGTCCTTTCCGTCTTTCCTCCACCTTTTCATCCTCAACTTCATCTTCCGCATAATCATCCTCATCCTCATCCTCATCCTCATCCTCCTCAACATCATCATCTTCCACATCATCATCACCATCATCATCATCATCATCATCATCCACCTCCTCTTCCGCAACATCATCCTCCTCCCCCCATCTTCCGCAACATCATCCTCCTCCACCTCATCTTCCGCAACATTATCATCCTCAACATCATCCTCTGCAAAAATTTCCTCCTCATCCTCATCCTCATCATCATCATCATCATCACCACCGTCATCATCATCACCATCCACATCATCCACATCATCATACATTATCCTCCCGCTCTCTTGCCGGGATAGTTTTTCTCGTTGTATAACATTCCCGATGGGTCAAAAAATCCTGAATCCGTTCAGGCGGCTGTTCCTGGAGAAGTGTTTTGCAACACAGCTGCACCAAAGGCACTTTTAGGCTGGTATTTTAGGATCAAAAATGATGCGCGCACGAGATTTAAAATCCCATCCGCCTAAGAAACACACATATATAAATGATCACATATGCACCCCCGCTACTATAGCATGATTTCTTGGCGGTGGTTAGTATCAGGCGAAAGGAATTATTGGGATTGAATGGGCCTTGAATTGGGATTTAAGCAGTAAGAATTTGGCCCTGTTCGGGATGTTTGTTTAGATACCCCCTCACTATGGTTGAGAATTAAGGATGTTTACAGCATTGTGGATCCTGCAGTATGGGTATGGATCGAAATTCTTGGCCTGGGGACCGAAGATGAACTGGTAAGGATTTTCTATTGCCGTCCAATTTAGATTTACCCTGGGGCAAACTAAGATAGATGTTAAAAACCCATGAAAACCATGGTTTCCGGAAGAAAATGGGTTTTCCACACCCATGTTGTTTTACAGAGGGTAGCGGGTAGAGTGTCAAATTCTGTGGCCCATACCATGTTAGGCATATGAGAAAAAATATGTTTGCGTTTAGCGCCCACTAGGGGGACCAAACTTCACTAGGGTGCCCATCGCTCTACATATCCCAGAAAATTCTGGAAACCCTTGAGCCTTTTTTGACATGTGCCAGCAGACCCGCACATCTTGGTTTCCGACAGGTTTCCTTGTTCGATCACATCTTCGAGCGAAACTGTTCATGTTTGGGCATGCGTTCTCCCCTTGCATAGATATACATAGATCACCCTCGGGTAACCAAACACATTGCAATGGAAAACCCTCAGCTGTAGATGTTTGGAGGATATTGGAGGCAATGTTCAAACGAGCCAGGCTTGGATTACCAAAGAATGAATTTCGACGCTGTCAAGTTTTCAAATTCGTGAAACCTGTTTTGAGGAAGTGTTTATGATGACGGCGCCCCTCGTTTTGCGGGGCTGTTGTCACATTTGCTATGGGGGGTCGGGGGTGGGGGGGGGTCTGATAACGTTCCTGTCTACATGCACACAGCCAAATGCACACACACACACAAACACACACACACACACCCACACACACACACACTGGATGCTACGT